CCTTAGTGTTGTGACTCTTCAAATTCATTTGTATACGAAGTCAGAAAATGATGATGTGGACATAAAACCTTCTTAAATGTCTGGTCGCACATTTCTCATTTAAATAATATAAAATAATGTGTCCTAGTAGTAGCGAGTAGTAGTAAGATTCTGTCGTCGCTTCACTCATTAATGAACGGTTCTGTCGGCGAAACGTTTGTAGCGGAAAGGTTGTCGTTGATTAAGTCTCATAAAAAGGTTTTGTCGGCGAATCGTTCAGATTTGAAAGGTTCTGCCGTTGAACAACTCATAAACGAAACATTCTGTTGGCGAATTGTTCGTATTAGAAAGGTTCTGTCGTTGAACAACTCACAAACGAAACATTCTGTCGGCGACTCATTCGGCAGCGAAATGTTTGTCGGAGTTTAATTTCAAAATCGAATTTTTCTCCATTCAGACCCTCGCTACTCGTTCCTTTGGGAGTCAAATCAGTCGCGTTTTACTTAATATCCGCTTCGTTACATCAAATAAAATTGTAGTTGTCTAACATCATTATTTATTAGCAAACCTATTTTAGTTGTCCTTTTGTTTTGTCCGTAGCAGAAAGTTAAACGGAAGTGGTATAACCCATACGTCTCGTTCTATAATATATACTAATGTTTAAGAGAATTAACGCGCTCACGATAAGTATTAAGTATATAACTTTGAAATGCTTGACGATTCAACCAGGTTGCACTGGTGGTAGTCACAGGCTGTCATGTCACCTCTCAAGCCAATCCTCTATGAGAAGTCTACCGATGTAGTGTGCTCTAAATAAAGTGTACTGCTATTTTTTTACTAACACTGGTCTCTGTTTAGTAGTCTCTAGGATAACATGATGATAATTGCAGCTTTTAATACTAACTGAGGAAACCCGCGTTTTTCAACTGCTCTTTTTGTGCCATTTACAACAACAGATGACATTGATGCATGTGAAAGATTAATCTCGAAGGTACAGGGAGCGGCGGTGGTGGAAAAAGGGGTGGAGAGAAGATGTCCGAATTATTTAGTTGAGTATTACATCAACGCTGGTGCGACGCTTCGTCCTCCGCTCAATCAACGTGCGTTCAAGTGACTCGCAGTAATAGTTAGTCATTATAACCTGAGTCATTGCACATTATATTTCCTTCGGAAAATATAAAAGAAAGGAAAATTCTGATCACTAAATCGAGTTAATTACAATATTCCCCACACATGTACAAATGAAAGTTCTAAAGTACTGAAAAAGTGTCTAACCTCTAATTATTATTTTTTTGTAGTTGAACCCTCGAACTTTAAGAATGTTTTCAAAGTTAAAAACATCTAAAGTAGTTCTACATTAGATTCAATAGAAATATCTTAAGCCTTCTGTTGAGTCTATCTTAAAAAGTTGCACATGTGCGACTTGCATGTGGATACCAGCTTCTAAGGGATGAACGAATTAAAAAAATAATAATGCCATTGTAAAATTATGTGTACTTAACTAACACGATCATTTATTCTATAACCTATTTGATGTTTTGACTAATGGTAGTGTAACCTGGGCCTCAATTTTGCTATTTTAATATTGTATCAATAGACTGTCGATGAAATGTCGTCGGAATAGTCTTACACTCCCCCTATTCTACTAATTATGTAACACCAATGGCCTCCCTATGACATATCACTGTTACAAATGTCGTCGATGTCTTTGTAACAGTTTGATAAACAGTACATTTTAAATTTGTAAGAAAGTGATATATTTAATTTTCCAGGTTTGTCAATGTTGTTGATATCAACATAGATGACATATATTACTATATTGACAGTCTATTGACACTGTGAATTTATGTTAGTAGAATACTGATATTTTGACCGATGTCAATGGTGTCTCAATGGCATCTCAATAGCGTATTAATGGAATGACAGTGGCTTGGTGTTAACATAAAATATCAGAATTGAGGCACTGATGTTGTGTTAATAATACCTAATTCGAACCACTTATATATGTTTTTATTGTAAGATATATAATCTTACAATAAAATTTAATATAAAATGTTAGCTCACTCACATTATTACGTTCCATCCCGCAAACGTCCGGGAATAAATTCCCAGTAGTCATTCTATTTTATCTAGAATAACACGGCTTAAGTACCGCTTCTTAATGTAAAAGCACACACGCAAACGAAATATCTGATTAGATTTACATGTGTGTGTTTTGCCGATAAGTATATTATTGTACGTTTACATGTTTATGTTTACCCATTTTGCGTTATTAGTTTCAATTTCTGAAAAAAATAGTTCATTTAAACTACAGGTACTTCGTACTTTTCTCAAAAGTATTTTGTTTGCCGTGTCTATGTGGTTAACTCTAAAAACTTAGAAAATACGGCGATTTATTTTTAATTACAAAATTTGCTTTAGATACAAATAATCAGCAAAACTTAGTTTTTCCACCTGTGACCAGAGGCTGCAATCTTACAGGTCCAACTCAATGTAAGATATCAATGCAGACAATGAAATAAAACTATTCACTTATTATTAAACATTATTAGGCAAAACATTGGCTAACGCTACAGTTGTAGTGTTTTATTTAAAACTAAAAACAGCCGTATTCTAGTATTCTACAAAAAAATAAAAGTGAATACACCAAATTTATCAACTTTTTACAAAAGTATGCTACTCCCGAGAGGAAATATAAGCTATTTATTTTGTTCCGGGAATTAAACCAGCCTGATTTACCTCGTATCTGCATTCGTACCGATTTGAATCAACGCCAGACCAATATTCAACGGAGCGACAAATCAGCACTTCGATATTGCCTCCATTTGGGCACCCACCTCAATATATGAAAATCAGATTTTTCATTGCGCCAGCCAAACGGCATGCGCGGTCCTCGCTCGCGAAAATGTTTAATATTTACAAAACTCTGTAGGCTTTGTGCCATAAAATTTGCAAAGCAAACTCAATTAAACGAACAATTCCAACTTGCTAATAGGCCATTTCATCGACTTATCGGCCATAGAAATCGTCGCTTTAATATTGAATGACTAAAGTAACGCACACGATGTTTATTTAATTTAATTCTATATTTTCGTTATAATTTGAAATGCACCAATTCTTAAATTATAATATTATTATTGTTACTATTAATATTATTTTAATTATGACTTCTATTATGATTCTTCTTCGGTGTATTGCTTACTGTGAGCAATCATATATACCTAGTTAAGTATAATAAAATAATAATTGTTATCAATAGTATATTACTTTTAACATGTAGGTATCCATTTGTTAACTTTTTAAACCAACAAGACAAATACAGAATGGAATATACTTTATTGTACACATATTATACGTATGTCTACTCCAGGCCATGATTATAAATTAGTTTCATGGTAATTACATACTACTAAGACACACCAAATCTGAAATATTTAATACTTTAATCATTTCTGAAGTGCTGTTCATATCAGTAATAAGCGAACAGAGTCTTAAACAGGAGTTTGTTTAATATTAATTTTGTACAGACCGGGGAACTCGGGCCTTGTATTAAGCAATTAATCATTAACACACATTTAAGGTTTTTTTTTAAACTGTAGAATTTCAGATTATTTAGATTGATGCGATGATAATAATAAGGACATTTGTACATATATAAATTTAGGGTTAGCGGCATTATTCCCCAGTTGCGATTTTCACCGGCATAACTCAGTTAAAAATATAGGAAAGTACCACGATACAGATGGCAAGACAAATGTTTTGAAATATAATTCTTTATGAAAAGTAATTAAATCAGTGCTTAGTAATTAAATCACAGATTTCCTATAATTTAGTACTAATATATAATTATAATGGCGTGCAATGGGATAGGCCTATGTCCAGCGATATTTATGACTGCGATAGGCTGATTGATTTCTTAAATTATCAATGTATAGTATCTTCCTGATACTGATTTTTTGTTTTATTTCTAAATCTAGAGTAAAAACCTTTTAAATGTATACAACTGTGTTTAGTTACTGAATCACAGTTGGTTTTTATATAACTTAAGACTAATTAAAAATCTAGATTACCTTCCAATAATTTATCTACATATCAGGTTAAAAATAGGGTATAAAATGAAATTAAAACCACAAATATTTTTATAATATTATTTAACAATCACAAAATATATCATAGCTTTAATAAACGCAGACAAATTATTACCAAAACCAGTACAATCAGTACGTTTCTAACAAATTGCATGCAATCATCTTTAAAAACAATATTGTTTACTATTAGATATTACATTAGGTTACAAGCGTTATAACCTATAAACCATGAGAACACCACTGTTAGATTTGTACACAAAAACTCAATACATTAAACTTTAGTAGTTGTTGTTTTTCTATTCTTTTACGTACCCAGAAGCTAATAAATCTTGAACACGACTGTTTCTGGTAAGAAAACGGGACAAGCGCAACTAGATTTAATATTTATTTTTTGAGGAAAATCGTAACTGGTGAATATTACCACTAACTAAGAGAGTATTACTTTGTCTGTCTACACACCCATACTTATATTATAAAAGTGAAATTGTGATTATTTGTTTATTATGCTTTCGCGCCTAAACCACTAAGCAATTTTTTTTAATTCATTCACCAATGGAAAGCTATAATATCAGCGAGTAACACAGGCTACTTTTTAGCGCAATAATCGACTCGGGCGGGCAAAAGCGAGTATGTATATAAAAACACATTACAGAAGTGTTTCAAAAAGCTATGATTCGTATTAAAATATTCACCAGTGAACTACATTATTCTGTAGAATAACGTAATTGTAACGGAACGTAAAGTGCTCAGCTGCGTTTCCACATCCGAGATTTGAAGTATTCGTTACCCTAGCTCGCTCGCTCCATCCGTTGTCAGTACCTCATTTATCCCCTTTGTTTGAGCCGTCTAAATTCTATTGAAACTGACGCATTAAGTTATTAGTTTATTTTTTAACTAATTATAATAAATGTTATATACTAAATTATACAGTAACTATATCTGTGTAAAAAGCACTTCAGATCTATCGCTAATAATGCTTCTTGCTTCAGGGAAAAACGGCAACATATTGATCCAGGCATCCAAACTAAGTGACAGGATAGTTGCCTGCAAATGTTTATTAAAATAGTTTCAGTAAATAGTAATGCAAAAACATTGTCCAATATCTTTAGAGTTTAACTGATACTTGATGATGATGATCACTTGATGATTAAAAAATCTTTATTATAGTAATTAATATGAAAAAGAAATATTGCCAAGCGACTTAAGCCAAACATAAATATGAATACAACTCACAAAATATTTTATTTCTATACTACAAAATCTTCAAGGAAAGAGCGTACTCGTACCTCACGTACATCAAAGGCCGAAGAAGCACTTATGACTCTTAAATTGCACGAGTCTGCTCTTTTAACCAGTTATAAATAAACAAAAAAATTATAAACAGGTGCAGTAGGTAATTTTCTTAAAGAAGTTTCAATAACACTATACCTAGTAATAGAACAGTATTATTTGCATAATACAATTATGGCTGTAAACGTTATAATTAGTTCAATGATTTAAAAATTTCAACCATCATTTGAAAGGTTACTTTAATTTTTTTGTTATAATACGAGTATAATAAAATAACGAACAGCGATAGATTGATGATGGTGATGGTAATAAACTAATATATGATGCTGAGATATACTCTCAGAAATTCAGAAGTACAGTCACCTTGGTATCTGCTCTATAAGAAAAACTGTGCGCGATGCCTCTATGCATTCCTTGCAGTATGCCAAACACATCCCCGGGACTAAGTGTCTCGTGAATGATCTCGGTGAAATCGGCTCGGATTGAAACGACTGAAACTGAGCCTGAAGCAACCCAGTACATTCTGGCTTCACTGTCACCAGCCATTACGATGTAGTTCCCTACAGAGATTTAAGAGACTTTAAAATAATCAAACTACTATTCTAAACAATGCCAATCTTTGTATCAATATCAAACAAAATGTTATTGTATTATAACTGAATTGCGGCTCAATAGATACTTTACACCTCGTACATAAAATAGTAAAGTCCATTAAGAAATTGAAGACACTACGGCCTTAAACTATAATCGCGAATGAATGTTAATTATTTACATTATGAAAATATTACGGTTCTAAGAAAAGTATTCCATTTACGGAATATTTTATTTAAATCTCCACCAATATTTAAGCTAAACATTTACTAATTTTAATCCACCTTTTGCAATACACTGCAGACATTTTTTAATCCTGCCCAAACACATCTTGCACATCGTCCGCGGATGAAAAGCGCACTTTTTTTCTAAAACTGTGCCTTTTTTGCATATAATTAAAACAGTTTTAGATTATTGTATATTTTAGTAAACTTTGTAAACCTACTTTTAAATACATTAACAAAGCTTAATAACAAGTTAACATCGTCATTTTAAAATACTACCCATTACACCTGATGTATAATACATAATCTAAACGCTTGCCGTAAATACCGTTTTTCGTAAAACTTCCTGGGTCACACGATATTATTCTTGAAAATGTATTTTAGTCACTTGTTATTTTTTCTACCGAAATCAATAAAATATTAACAATATGATTCTGTGACTCTAAGTACCGACTTCTTGATTTAAGAGACTTCTCAGATCTGCAAATTGCTCTACAGCGAACAAAGAAATGTGCAAAAACAGCAGGAAAGCAAGCGAGACAACAAAGTTGGCTATCAAGGCCTAGATTTAGTCATTAATAGGCAGACTTTGTTGTATTTATATCTGCAGAAATCTTTAAAAGAACATAAATGAATATAAAGTGCATATTACAATAGTTGTTGCTTACCAGGAAAGAAAATAGTATAATCAAGTGAAACAGTTAACTGCCGAAGAAAGGATTCACCAGTGTCGGCGAATATATAACAGTTCCTTAAGTGATGACCAAACATTGCCATCATCAGGTCACAACGACGCACGTACGGTGTCTGTGCTAATAATACTGGCAGCTGTAATAAATAAATGTGAACAGTCTTGTAAATTTTTCGACGTAGACTAGAGGTAAACCCCATTTGGATACAAATAATTTCAGCTGCCCAGTTTACCAGTTAATGCTTGGAATACCTATGAGAATTAGCAGTAATATGAAAATCCAAGGCTGGACAATCTTAGATTCTAATCTAATTTTAGATCTTAAAATATAATAGATTCTGAAAAATATGAAACGCAAGTTTATATATTGTTAAAACAAAATAGTCTAAACATGAATATTAAAAAAAAATCAAGGCATTTAAAGACAGTAGGAAATATAGTAGACCACTACTATATCTATGCAAAAAATTAAATCCCGTAGAATTTTAGGATACCGTTCCTCGAAAAACCTAACGTACTATCGTCATTATACATATTTATTTATTTTGATTTAATCCTCACAAAGTAACGATTATCTCAGTTATACATTAATAATGACGAACATGAATATTATACTGAGAGAATATAGATTGAATGTCGGAGGCGTTCCCCGACAGTAGAATATAATGGAAGAAGTGGTACGGCATTATAGATGGATATGGGTATTACAGAAATAACTAAAAGAGACTAATCTGGCTGTTTTAACGACAGAGATTTTTTTTCTATTGCAGGACGTATAAACCCTACTCCTTACTCCTTCCTCAAAGGCTGGCAACGCGCTTGTGACTCCTGAGTTGGATACGATCATGGACGGCGGTAATCGCTTTCCATCAGGTGACCAATCTACTCGTTTGCACCCTATTCAATAAACAAAATTGCAGGAAGTATAAATACATAAATCAATTAGAAAGTAGTAATATGTTAAAACCTAGATTGACTGTAATTTTTTTAATTAGCCTTCAAAATCGATTCTGGTCGAGTTGTTGAGAAGTTCAAAGACTAATTGGAGTACATTATACAGTAATATTCACTAACAAACTACTAGTTCTAGTGGTATTTTAGTACAGACATAAATAATCTTTTTTCTATAAACAAACTTCAGTTATATTTAAGATAGAAAAGTCTTTTAACAAGTACCTGTCGTCCACGTTCGGTCATCCAAAGTTGTTTAACATACTTCCAAAACTTCTTTAACTGATAATCTATAACAATTAGGACGTATAAAACTTATATTAGTTTGGCTAAAAGACTCAACAACACATTTAGAAAAAGTTTTTCACAGTATGAAGAGACAACAATACTAGTAAATGAATTATGTCAGTTGGTTTATAGGAAATCTTTGGCACTCAAATGCCAAACGACCATCAAAACCAGAAAAGCCAAAACTTCTACATATTTAGTTAATTTATTTACACATGCATGTATATATCTATTTTTAATAGGCCTTATAATATATTACATATGGTGCGCCTACAAGAGCGCTACAAGAGCATTGAATATATAGGTATAAAGTATTTAATTTATTTATTCCTTGTGTCCTTTCCGAAAATCAATAGACAATAACGTTGTTCAAAATTGCATTAAACTACTCATTAATGGCATTTACTGGTAATGATAAATAGCGAAACTTACTAGACAATCCTTGATTCTTCAACGTGTAAATGAGGTCCTTCGTAACTTTTTCGTAGGCTGTAAGTGCATACTTAGTAGCATATGCCAGCTGTATAGAAGTAGCGACGACTATGGCTGCCAACATTCGGCCACACACGAGAGTGATACCCAAAATTGCCATTGGTAGAATGTCGTCAATGAGAAACTCGTCTGTCCCAGTTGTTGTAAGTTGAGCGACGACAACGTAAAATGAAGTAACATAGTCCCATTGACGATGAGGCGTTGCTCTATGAATTAAAAGATGCCATTTTATAAAATGTCAATTAATATGTAACTCTCAGAAAGTAAAAAATAAAATTATCCTCATGTCTAAAAGGAAATAACCCTCCTAAGGAGAGGTCTATGTCTAGCAGTGGCCAAATTAAGGCTGTTGTATGTCTAAAAGTAGTCACCAGTTTCATTTATAATTTTCTTACTATAGATAAGACAGTTGAGATTAAAAACAATAGAACTATTTATAGAATAATAAGAATTTCGGTGATATAGTTATTTAAATGATTTCAAGATACACTTATGTTAGATATAACTAAAATACATAAATTAATGACTAGTAGATGAACTAGTTAAACGCAGGTAAGACATATTACTACATCACCAATACAGTATACTTCGCATTCTTAAAGCTATAGATATCTAGTTTGTTACAAAATTTTAGTTTTAGCTTGTATCTTTAATTGTTTGTAAGATGTTACTAACGAATGAACTAGATGTATCTTGAGTGACCGAATGTAGCTAATGGGTAAATAACCGATCATTGCGAGAAGCCAAATACACGTAAAAGTATGAATCATCAGCACCACCATAATTATAGTCATCACAACCTGTAAAAATATAAGACTACTTTACTTAAGATTTATGTGTTGGAAAAGAAGTTTGTGTGTTATGTTGTGAAAAGAATTTTATTCAGACGTTAGAATCGCCTGCCGAAACTACTACTACTAGTACTAATTGTTATCATGTCTTTCTTAAAATTTTGCTGGTTGTTTCACTGCTTTCAGACGATAAGACGAATATCTCGCTCATAAATATTGGGTATGTCCGTATTCTACCTCGCAATTCCAAACGGAACAATTTCTGTTCATTGAGTGATGGTTAGAAGTCGGATTAAATTGAAGAACTGGTCAAACTTTGTCGATTTTTAAGCAAATTAGATAACTAAAACAATGAAAGACAAGAAGATAACGGGAATATGTTTGAATTCTAAACTTTTTTGGTATTCTGTTGTCCGCTGTGAGACCATGAAGTTTTCGAAATAATGTAACAACTTTATTAATTACCTGTAATGACGTCAAATTGTTTGTTAGCTCTTTGGATGTTGTTCGATAAAACTCATATAAATACTTAAGCCGAAAGAATTTATTAACTCGCAAGTAGTGTATTGCAAGGGTACCATGATTTCTGAAATTTAACACAACGTCTTTTGAAAATTCATCCTAACAATTTTTCATGTAAAAGTAAATGCTCAGTTGGGTAGGTACCTACTCAACTGAGCATGATATTGAGATAATTGTAGCATACCGATTGGTGACACAGTGGAATAAATGTTAAGGAGAGATCTGTGAGTTTATCCTAGGAAAGTAGCCACTCGTTTACACACAAGATACCAGTTTGTCACACATTTTGGCTTCACTCGATCAAGTTTAAAATATGATGAGGGCATTGACGGTTCATGGTCAAATAACATAGTCTGGGTCCTCGCCAGAGTAGAAGTTTTAGATTTCTTTGTGGAAACACTACATATTTCCGGCTCCTAAATCCCCAAGGAGCCGGAGATCCGAAGGGATTTTTAACCCCGTCAACAAAATATAAAAACCGGTCAGGTACGAGTTGAACTCGTGCGCCGAGGGTTTACCTACCTACCCAGATTTTACGTAGATTTTCACGAAAATTTGTGAGTACCAAAATTTATCTTAATTTTCAACTCTTTTAATTTTTTGGAATTATTCCTTTATTTGTGCTGTAAGACGTTTCTATTTGCCAAATTTCGTGATTCTAGGTCAATTGGAACTACCATATAGGGTTTCGGTTCGGTTTTTAGAAAATCGGTGGTGACACACGTACAGACGGACAAGAAAGTGATCTTATAATGGTCCCTTTTTTACCTTTTGAGGTACGCAACCCTAAAAAGGAGGAAATTAGGGTAATGTAAGTCAGTAGGCAATGGAAGTCAAACAAATTTTTTTTTCCGAAAAACTCCCTAGGCGCGAGCTCAAGGTCCTCCGACTACCCGTTCAGTACGCGTTTATAGTTTACAAATTAAGGCTGCCGCACACTTTTGAACGAGTTCAATTTGGCATGAAGTCTAAGTACTTCGAGTAGTGTTGTTATAGTTGTGTGCCTATAAAGTTTAATCATCAAAATAAAAAATTGTAATGACAAATAATATTTTTAATTTATATATTTAACACATTAGGTACAATAGAGTACTGAGAGTCACTGCAATACGTGCAATATGAGTTACCTCCCATTGGCCACAGTTATTGTGTGATATGAATAAATCTAACAATAATAATAAAAAATACTAGTTTGTATACATATCTCCTTAACCCACAAATAAGGCTCAGTAGTCGTCTGACCCGATATAAAAAGGGGAAGAACTCATGTTTAAAGGACACTCTAAAAGGAATGCTTCTAAAGCCCTTTGCAATTCATACGCAAACTGCTCAGAGTAGGGTTCTTTATGTAGGTATGAATTTCTGGATTTGTACGAAGTATCCATCCATCCATACAGATTAATAATACAGCCTGTCACCACTCCTATTCATACCGTGGGTGTCGTAAGAGCCGACTAAAGAAACAAACTACGCAGGACAACAGCACTGCAAAGAGAAAGAAAACTTGACACAAATCCAACACCAACCCGTTTGGCCAGAGTGGTATAGTAGGCCTAAGAAGAGGCATATATCCTGCAGTGCACTATTAAAGGCTGTTGATGTGAAAAATAAAAAGATATGTATTGTCATATTTTTTGCTTAAGTGACTCCCATGATACTTTATCGCCTATATATTACTCGGTACTAATTGTTATTCGGTATTTAACTTAAATGTAGTTTTAGGTAGCTTAAAAGTACTTTTTGATCAACTCACGGTAGGCAAATACCAATAAGTTCGAAAGGCAAATTAGCTAGAATATCGCTCCAAATCCATAGCTTGTGCTTGAAGTACCTTCGTCGACATTTCGGCCCGTCTATGACTAAGACTCCATGTCTGCTTACGAATCCCTATATGTAAAAGTTTGTTTGTTGTTAAATGTACGTGAAATGCATAAGTAACAATATTTAAAGTCAAAATTGTAATTTACTCTGTTGTTTTTGTATTGCCAATTGGTCAAGTTCAATCAATAAAATGAAATAAAAACACAACTTGACATTTAATAAATACTAAAATGGCTCACTGAAATTGCTTTATACTATTTTGGCTACGCAAACCTGATAAAATGGTACATAGGCTTTTTTGCGACTGTAATCTTCTCAAAGGTAAAAAAAATGTATTAGAAAGCCAAGCTCTTACCATAGCAATAACATTACATTATAAATATCCCATAAAGCCTACTCTGCTCGAGGCAACGAGTCAAGCCATGAAGCAATGAGTTCACAGCGTTCTAATTACTGCAGGACATTCGCGTTTATAATAATTTAAAAGTTCTTAATAACAAAAATTAAGATACATTCATAATTACCTGATGCATTGATAAATAGATCTTGATGTAGAAAAAAACATCACAAATAGCATGTACCCAATATAATACAAAGCAATCGTTGAGAGTCACCAGATCGTATAACTCTAGAACGTAGTAGAAGGTCGCCATGAAACAGGTTATATAGCCATAGCTCTGAAAGGTAATGTCTGGTTTAACAATATTGTAGAAAATGTAATTTTGAAGAAGTGGCAGATGCATGAAGCTACGTGTTCAACGTTAATAAACTGTATTCTGTATTCTTAATGTGACACACATAAGAGAATAGAACCGAAATGAGAACTCCTCCTCCTTATTTTAAAGTTGGTTAAAAAGGGTGATTTACTCTTGTAAGTAAATGTACATTCCATTTCTCTTGCAAAATAAATAGTGAGTTTATAAACAGCACAAAGATAACCTAATCAATACTGTCTAAGAGAGCTCCTTCATATTATATTCATATTTCATAAAAATGCTAAACAAGTAAACAGATGTTATACATAAGTTGAAACAAGTGTGAGTATGCCCATACATATTTTATTTTATTTCCTCAGGAAACTTAGAGCCAAGACACCGTTAGTATACAATGTATACCAATGTATGTCGTAAAAGTGTATACATATTTCTTAGTAGAATATATTATAAGAATGTATACGGATGATTTGCGCACCTTCTTTTAAAAGAAAGGAAAGGATATTATAAATTATTCATCTTATTTCTACTACGTGCGTGGGAATTACAAAGAAGCGTTGTGTAACCTTCAAATAAGTGATACAATTAATAGTTAAAGAAAACTTTGATATTATTTTTAGCTTAATAAAGCAGTTCGTAGCATCGTATAACGTAAAATTGTAACTTAAACCTAACAAAATACATTTAACATTCAACTCTACTATTACAAATGGGCATGGAGATCATTAAGAGTTTCGTAGAACCATAAGGCATCGATTTACCTGAAACAGGTGAGTTCCGGGTTGTAGGATATTGGTGACATTGGAGAAGCTCTGATAGGTAGTTACACTAGTCGTAGATTTTGTCTGACTAAAGCTCGACATAGACGCGTTCATGGACAGGTGCCCTACAAATTAATATAAATATATTTTGATAATGCCTTTAAACGCCTTCTACAACAACATAATAATAATATGTGTAATTTACATATTTTATTATCTGTAATTGAAAAATCACAATGAAGTCTTGCAGACAATAAATACAAAACAACTTTTTAGTTTTTTTTTTTGTGTTTTTTATATAGAAAATAATACTTAATTGTTTTCTATTGAGGCACAACTCTGAGTTGTTTTGTCTCATTAAGAGGCAGAACGACTGGCAGTCTCACTATGCGACATGGCTGGCATTAGATATATAACATTTACAAATGCTGTAGACTGTACTCATAATACCTACTAGACCATTACGTTACTACATTGCATTGCATGACTGCACGGATGGTGTAGCGGTCACCTTGCCGTTTCGTACTGCCCTGTGTCATGGGTTCGATTTCCACATGTGACAACACCTGTGTCATTTACAAATTGTTATTCTAAGTCTGGGTGTTCTTTGTGACAGTGTTATAAATGTTTGTAACGTCCCTATATCTTTTTTTAACAATAAACAAGAACAAAATTAGTTCAAAATTTATGGGCCTAAAATGTGTCATCGTGAATTGGATATAACCCTGACTACACCTTTATCAAGTTATGCTCAAATCTGACTTCCTTCTGTATGTTAACTTGTTTTTTCTATATTTCCCATTTCATTGTAATCCAATTTGTGGTTCGTTTTAGTCTAGGAATACGCGCTGGGAAAAGTTCTTTCCATTTAGTTTCTACCCAATTGGATGAGTTGGAGGGACGCTTTATCATATAGATTCATTTATTAATGATATAGAGGGCAAATGAGAAGACAGGTCCTATATCAAGTACAAGACAAGTCCCGGACCTAATGGTAAGTGCCTTTCACCGCTCATAGGCTATTGCAGCTTAAGAGATACAAGTGTATTATCGCCCTATGAAAGAGGGCTTTGGGCTCCGGTACCCTCACTAACGTGGTGACAAGCAATGAAATTCAGTGAGTTCATGGGTTTGAGTGTCTATCACTCCAGTTGAGCCGGTTCATATGTGCGTGCATGCCTCAGCATAACTCGACCACGTTATAAAATATTATATTTCAATGTATTCACCAAATTTGACATACCTGATACATCAGCTTTACTCGAGTCACTCCTAAACGTGCTTCCTGACTCATACGATATCAATTCGTCGCATGATCCCTCATCTGTAAAGGATGATATTGTAAATACATATATCAAGACCGTATATATCATAATAACACTTTTAGGTAATTGTGAATAGAATTATATATTCACAATATCAGTGCAAGTTTTTCTGATACAAACTTAGCCTAGTTTGTATCACACAGCACACCCATCAGCATAATCAAATTAATGACTAGTGCAACGATATTTATTGGAATTTTCTTATTTTATTTATTACTTAAATTTTATATGTATGTATAAACATTGATATTATTTGTATTTTGCACATTATATACCTGACGCTACTTACACTAGATATGTACTGGTCCGCAAAGAGCGATCATTAATTACTATTTTCTAATAAATACTTCTATACTTATACTTCCTTTACTTTTCATAATTTATTTGTAGAGACCAAATGAAAAGTAATTAATGATAAGTAAATAATTAACCTGTATTACTATAACTCTAAGAAGGATATTGCATTACTTTAATATCCTAAATTATTTTTATTTAATATCTTTATAATGTTTCAGTGTCAATCTTGATTCTGATTTTGATAAACTACACTGTATAATTTTGCATGCATTACGGTAGAAGCACTCGCAACATGTAATTTTCTAACACCATGGTAAGTGTTTTCTGCAAAAATTAATAATTTGGATTTGGATATACTTGAACGGCTCCGTTTAAGAACAAAAAATGATTTGATCAACCACTTGTTTGTTTGTATGTCATTTTAGTTTTACAATATTAAAATCATAATGTACACAAAAACTCTTTGTATAAAAAGGTACACGGTTATTATATCACCTGACGAGGTATCGTCATTTATTTCCATTGTTATCGGCAGAATGTAGTCTCTAGAAGTTTCGAATGCCTTCGTTAAGGGTTCCTGAATTTTGGAGTAATATTTGATTAGGTTGAAAAAAGTCAAGCTCGGTAAAACTAGCACATCTAGACTTCGACTGGCGTAAATTGTTACTTCCGAACATGAAATTGGTTGCTAAAAAGTAAAAAAGTTATAACGTTAATTAGTTAATAAGTAAAATATAAATATTTTGAAAACTAATTCAGTTTTATAATTTCTACGGAAATAATTTGTTAGCCGTAAGCATAATTACAAACTTGACGAATGTCCGTTAATGTTTGCCACAGACACGTTAAAATTCTGATGTTTATAAATAGTAAAAAAAAATTGATACAAACGAATTTGAATCAAATTATTCATGATTTAATTATTATTATTTATTTTGACTCGATCGATTATTTGAATGCTTTATAAGCAGGCAAAGTAACTATATAAATAAATGCAATATTATTTAACTTTTTTCTCTTCCTTCGAAAGAAACAAAATTGTATGTTGTTGCTGTTGTAAGTTATAAAATGGGAGTCATTTCTTTAATTGTCTAGAATTAATGTAGGAAGAAAAGAAGTAAAGAGACTTTTACCATGACTACACATTCACTAAATTAGAAAGTCGTAAAGACTATTGTATACACCTGAGAGAGCAATATCGACATTTGCAAGTTGTAGTGACCACAGTTCGCATCATATCTTCTGAGACGGATTTATTTTAAAAAAAGTTTGCACTTTTCAGAGATAAAATCATCATAACGTTCGGATTGAGCCACGTTACCCCGAAAAAAGAAACATATTAAACTAAGTAAGCATACAGGTACCTTACAGTACTTCCACTGCTACTCTGCTACTACTTTCCATTCAAAGTCCAAACAAATCACTATAGCATATTTTGGTCTTAAAAACGACACAGACTTCGTCTTTGTCATTTTTATACACTTCAATGTTTGCTATTGCTATGGCCCTAAATGTATAAATGTTCCCTACGTATTAGATAGGTATATTAGGAGATAGACTTACCCCGGTAAAATTGCCAAACATTCCACCCGGTCCCATACAAGTAATCATTTCATTATATGAAGTTAAAACGTCAACCTAAAATGAAATTAAATACAGTATCTAGTAATAAAAGAGTATTTTATATTTTAACGTATTACAAACGAATAAGTATCTAAGTAGGTACTTGATATCAGAACAAAGGATGGATCTTATTGAAAGTATCCAAAGGCACTTGAAATATCGATCACCACATACTCGTACATGTAGGTATTCTTTTTTAATAAAACAACAAAGAGTGAACGGAATAATCCAAAAACCTTTCTTATTCTTCCTGTTCAGTGAGTCGGCATGTCTCGGGAATACATAAAATACCCGATCACTTACCTTGAATGATATTTGACTTGAAAGATTGACTGTAGACCCAGACTGTCGGATGGGTAATAAAAAATATCTATGCATATAAATAGGGTATGTATAACGTAAGCGATACAATATTTTTGTAATGAGGTAGAATCATGCGGAACAGTGGATTTTTTTAAAGCAATGCCTATTATTTTTGCTGTCTGTAATTTTTTTGCAAACTTCATGAACCATCTTGAAAAACAGAAATAAACTTTACTGAATTAAATACTATTGAATTTTCTACATTTATAGGTATAGTGTGTATTTTTTTCTTTTTTAGAAGTTTATACAAGTTGAATTACGAGTATAATGAACTTATTTTTTTTAAATATACCAATACCATTCTTAATCATAGTTAGTTTAATACCATTCATCAAAAAGTTAAAATCAAAAATAATAAAAATACGCCAACGTTAAAAGTACTTACTAATGAACATATAGTTTGTATAATTTGTATGTATAAATTTAATTTGATACTAACACTTTATGAATACTTCATTCCGAAATAAAAGCTCATTATTATTAAATAATTTTGTATGCATTTTTAAAACTTTCTTTTCAAAGTCTTGGCGGGTTTGAAAAAGAGAGGAACCCCGTATAGTAGCGCCTAAATTCAACTATATAGCATGCCATTAAGTTTTTTTTTGTAAGCATGCCAATTGCATAATTACAATGTGTCATAATTGAGACATTCTAAATTTAACTTTGTCAGAGTAATAAAAGAAATCACAGGCATGGATATTTAAATTACATTATACATTAAAGAGACTATTTACATAATATGGTGAAAATATATTGTTATGACATTTTCATATCATTAAATTTTCAAATATTACATACAAGAAATGCGCGGAAACCATACTCCTTTCTTAAATCACGGATATTACTTTATGATCATTACTTAGAAATCAAGTACTCTGAGTGCATACATAACTAATACTCACATTAAAAACTTTAACTTCTGTGGATCAGGCTTCATTTTACTTTAATGTGTCTTTGTAAGTAAAAATAAAAAACCTATTATAATAAATCATAACATACCTTTCCCCTGTAAATAATAAATATGTAGGGCTGTATATCTCTACACTGAATAACAGTGTCACCCTTGAGAAAGTACATTTCATGCAGGTGTTGCGTGATGACCCTGATGAAGGACCTTTCCACCTTCCCAAATAGTGGCACTTCGCGAAGTGCACGTTCGTACATAAATACTAGCGTATCTTCCATTAGAGCCGAATTCAGACGCCGACATATTTTCTAGGCAATACAAAACACTATCTAAATAACTCTTGAATACACAATATAGGGCTACATTATTCTATATGGAACCTCACTATCTCATTTTCAAGAACTATTGAAATATGATCATCGAGATATGATACATATGACATGAGAATATCATATAGCTTCTCGTTTAGCGAGAATGTATTTCTCGGGTCTCGGTACGTTGCCAGTTCATATTTTGATTTAGTTTAGGTTACCAATAGGTAAATAAAATATTCAATCAATCTATCATTTTTTGTAGTCTCTGTATATATAAAATCAAATATTTTTTTTATATTGCAGTAATTATATTTAATTGATCTTGATCTTAAGTTACAGATTAATTTTGATGTAGTAGCGTAAGGATATTTATTTTTTTATCATTTTATTTATTATGTTTTTAAAACACTGAAAATATAAGGAGGACTATATTTAAATATTAACGATAAAGCTTGTATTCAATTATTACTCCAAAAAACCATAGCAATCTGTGTTAGGCGATCTGCGGGTTTGAGGAAAATTATAACGTTAATTGACTGATAAAATTATAAAGCGTCATAGAAATTGCACCTGTCGCCAATTTTCATATGCGGCTACAACAGGAAATATACTGTCACAGAAAGGCGTGGTCAAATTTTCCGAAGGTTCTATATAGGTGGCATACAGTTTACTAAACCTATAATAATAAGATACCTTAAGATAAGAATGATAATATGACGTTTGAAACTATGTTTGTGTATATCTGCACGTCAATTTCTACGATTGCGTTTTTTAATGTTTTTCTAGTGTAGAGTTTTAGGAAAACCCGAATTCCATCAACATCCTTGGTATATATAACATACCTATATTTTCCTATTAACAAAATGTATCACATTCTTATTAAGGTTTCTGTTATAAAAATCAAGAACCTTTAAAAATTATTAGCGCTTTAGTTTCTTTTAAAAACGTGCAGCTACAATTTACTACTATTGTCTTCTATACGTCATGGACGTCTTCTACACATGATACTACATGCGTCTCCTATAATATTCACAAGAACAACAGAACCAAGTAATAATGTAATTAAGCAATAACAGTAGTCAGTCACTATCAATATCGACAAACGCTTTTGATAGTGACTACGACTCCGTACTCAGTAAACACCATGAATGTAATAAATTCAAAAACACTGTTTGTTACAGCTTTTTATCATTAAAAAGTACTGCACTTGATTTACGTGAAATATAAAATCTGAAATAAACAAAACGTACGCCAGTTAAAAAATATTTATAGCAGTAGCCGTCAGCGTTTCCCTAGAATTATGTTGAGGATATTTATTTTTATAGAAATACTGCGCTACGTATCCAATTAAATACTTCATATGTACTAGTTTTCACAAAATTACTGACCTGAGGATTGCTACCGTTAGTTCTCTTCCATACATATTCGAAATATTTCAATGTTTTTGCCGTAAGTACAGGATCTACATTCTCCTGGTATAGAAAGTTCGCCAGATCCTTTGTTTTTTCCTATAACACAAACGAGGACGGAGCTCGTTAAAACTAATATAATTACTATACTGGAACTACAAAGTCGTAATATTTTTAATGATGGAACTTCAGCCGTAATACGCAAAACTAGAGCTAACAATATACTCTACTTTGAAGGTAATTAAATTTCGGTTATTTCATTTTGTTACTCCAATTTTCGTAACTTCATAGTAATTGCAATTAAAAAAGAGAATTACGGACTACGCACGCAACAGGTAAGTATATTAAATATTACGCTTTTTTAGTAAATCAACGTTGTAGTGCCTAATCATAAGTACTTTATGAGTTTATTTTATAGAATTAATTTTTAAGTTTGACAGCTATTCACAAACCGGGTGTAAGTGTACAGTAAAAAAAAACATTTTAATTAAAGTCACCCAACCACCTCCTCTCGAAGAACTACGAGGAAGACTGTAACCACATTTAAAGTAAGCAACAATAATGTAAGTAATAATAATAATAATAATAATAATACATTCGTTATTTAGAACTGACAACAGATTACAATAAATCAAATGCGTTTGATAATGACTGCATTAGTGAAACACTGTGGCGCAGTCACTAACGCCCACCTTTGGATGTGATGCAAACGTGTCATTCCTTTCTAATACATTACAACTCTAAAACCTAAGCATGCGGAGTATAACGTTGAGGATTTGAAAGTGTATGTGTGTGTGTGTGTGTGTGTGTGTGTGTGTGTGTGTATGCGTCTATGTGAGCGTGTTTGCGTGTGCGAGTGCATGTAAGTGTGTGTGTTGCATTATAATAACTACGATTAAGTCTTCAGTGTCTTCGTAAGTTAAACCAAGTAGCCATTCAGTAGCTCGTGATTTACGTTTACACAATTGTATTATGCAAACTTTATCTGTTCTGCTTTTTTTGTATTAAGAACAAAAGGGAGACTGGACGGTAAAGTAGACGCTAAAGGTACTATTCCGAACCGAGCTGCCAACGGCAACTACCGACACCACATAGCGGCTGCATCTAGTTGTTGCTTTTGCAGCTGCAAAGTGCAGTCGAAATGTTTTCGAATATGGCAGCACATGCTGCGACTGCACAACTAACACTAAGCGAGGCCATGGATATCTTGGTCCTGAAAAACTAATTTTTCTGGCATATCACGTCCGTATCGTACGTGCGTCTGCAACGTGCTGCTGCCGCGGTGGTCAGCAGCCATTTCACATAATTACATATATACGAAACAGTCGTGCAACTGCGGCAAACTACAAACAGCTGCTGCATATGCTGGCAATTGCCGTTGGCAGCTCAGTTCGTAATAAAATAGTACCTTTATGATATTTGTTGATTATCATAAACGAACAACAAATTCAGTTCAATTCAAGCATTAGACTAGCTTTTGAACTTTTAACAAAATACATTTTAAGAAAGGATATTCTTATATATCCGGAATAACATTTTTTTTCATATAAAATGTCAATCAATTAGACCTTTTGGATAAATTCTAAACTAAAAAGCCATCAGTGTAGCAACAATTTTTTAACGTATGTATTTAATCTTTAAGGTAATGAGTGTATTATATTGTGTTAAGCTAATATCTCTGGACAAATCGCTTAGTTTGCATACATATTTACGTACCTAGAGGTAAGTTTACTTAATTACATTTTCAACTTAGATAAAGTTTAAAGGGTGTCCTAAATACAGATATTTTTCATTTATTACAATGAGAAAGTACAATAGCATACAGCCGTTAATACCCCATAGGGCGAGGGCCTTTTATTAAGCTACCCACAAAATAAGATAACCAAGGCAATTAAACGCTATAATCGCCTATACATTATTTTTAAAATGTTTTAAATTTGTTACAGTCATAACGAATAAAGTAGAATAATTCCAAAGCTTAAAAAGTTCACGGAATTATGTTTTGTCTAATTGTTCATGCCCTGATGTTAATACGTTTTATTTGTCTAAAATCATTATTCAAATTTTATTCAGTTTATTACCAATTAAGACCATTTACTTGATGTTGTGATGCTGAAGAGGTCATCACGATTTATCACGATATCATGAACGTATACAACGTGTTACAGAAAATTGTAGTCATAATTAAAGCTCGTACAGTAAAAAACGAAAACCGCTATAATTAATAATACTTTTAACTACATAAATCTATTCACATAATTTAAAAGTTTATATGTGAAATTATAAATTAAGCGATAACATCAATGTGTTAGTAAGAGGTAAAGCTTATATTAATAAAAGTTTAAGTGACATTTAAGTGTACATGAAAACATCTTTCTAATCTTTATAAATTTGATGTTCAAAACTGTTGCGATCGTAATGTTTAATTAAGAAAATAAGTCCTCATAGGATCAGAAATCACAGGCTATTAAAAAAATTGCACTAACATCGCATCAATAACTGTAATTAGTCTCATATACTACATAATTAGTACTAATCTATACAATCTAGAGTTTAAAATGAAAACTAGTAAGTAAAGTAACATCTAAAAAATGGCTGGACAATTACAATTGACACATACATTGTGTTCCAACAGTGCACACGCAGATGCAGACCTTGCAGATGCGACGTAGCCGAACATGAAAGCAAAGTATAGAAAACCCGTGATCTGCAGACACATCACTACCCACATGTCCACTATGTTGTACATGCCGACTGGATTACAACCTAGTCCTGGATAAAAGTAAAGTAAAATATTAATTTTTCAAATAAATTACGCCCGCCAAGCCTGAACATTGCAATTTGTTATTTTTACTTTTAAGGTTGATATTTTTTCAAATTTACATGAAATCATTTTTAAGATACACTATTTTCAATATTCCAAGAATTATTGATATCCAACGACGTGAAGGAATTTTACAACATTTTTTCTAGAAATCGAATGAAGACTGTAGTATCCCTTGTATTCTATATTATTATATTTCTAAACTGAATCGTTCTATTTTTTATTTCATTCATTCAATATTAAAATCAGTTTCTAATTTCTAAACTTTAACAGGTGTAAGAAATAAACAATTGAACAATAGTGAAACAAATCTACGAGTAGAAATGGACTAAAGAAAACAAATCCTACCATTTTCATGCAGGCATAGAGATATAGATTTTGAATCGGATGAATGTGTGAATTGTAATACAGGCGTATTAATTACGATAAGTACATACCCACAAATACCTCGTACACCCAGTAGAATGTGTACGCGTATTCCGTGTATGCATCTGTGGAAAGTACATAAAACGTGACCAAACATTTACAATGAACAGTTAACTTAATGTAATGTAATAGTAATATTTCGGACATCTGACACACAACGCCATCTAGTTTCAAACTAAGCAGAGCTTGTACTATGAAAACTAGCTTGACTGATAGGATACTTATATACTGTTTTTTGTAAATACATACATATTAAATCAAAAACATACATAGAAAACACCCAAACTCCAAAACAAATATTTGCAGATCATACAAACATTTGGTCGGAGCCGGGCATCGAACCCGAGACCTCAGCATAGTCGCATATGCTACCACTGCACCGCCGAGGTAGTCAGTGGCAGGCAGTCATTATCTGATCTATTAATATGTTACAAACGAAATATCCAGTTCAGGTTTTAATCTAAAGCTTATCTGATACCGGCACAAACTTCATTTAAAATATAACGTTATCTAAAACTTCCGCAGGATTTCTATTATAAATATGATTAAACAATATTAACATCTGAGGCTGTGTAACATTTCATATTTTTTTTCAATGGCCTATGATTAACGCAATCTATAGATGACAAAGTGTTGTTTAATCGTTTGTTTTGATTGTTTGTATAATTAACGATCACAATTAAAAAAACTAAACTACTGTTATCTGTGTACTCAGAATTTTATTTTATTTATTTTAATTCTTTATGCACAAGTATGAGTTGTATAATGGCGGACTTAATGCCACAGGCATTTTCTCCCAGTCTACCTTAGGGTGGTGCTGAAATGTGTGACTAGATGCACTAGACAATGATATGTAAAGTAAAAGAAAATTTAGAATTTAGAGTTTTCTTATCTTAAATTTGATATCTTACTATATAGATACGATTAAAATCCTGTAAAATAAATACCTGTTTATTATAAGTTGGAAAAATTATGTTACACAAAGAACTACATATGTGTCTATTGACACGGTAGCAACTATTATTTTCGTTACAGGTATTAGGATGGTGTCCAATATCTGTCCTGTGTAGTTTCGCGCCGAAGTTGGGGAAAATTCAATTATTACTGGCTATATAGCGATATTACCTGACAGTCTCTCCATACTTTGTAGGCTGGGTCACATCAGCTAATAACTGTGACACTTTGTGAAAACTGGATTACGTATCAGGTCTACTTGTTTGCCCTCTTACACCAAAAAAAAGTCAAATTTACACTAAGATAACAGGTATGATTATTGCGCGACAATAACAGCCAACGAATCAAATAAGACTTAAGTAACATAAAATATAAATCGTTGTAAGCTACAAAAATTAAGTTTATGCATTACATTTGTTAAGATGTAATGTTGTATAATTCATTTTCTATATAATAATTTTGGATTGAGTTTGTAAAACATAGTACCATATCACCTTTAAACTATTACCTTGTGAAAAAATATTATTAAGGTACGTATTTTAATTCTATCATTTAGGATCGATGGGCCGCGACGCCAGGATATTTTTAAACGTTTTATAACATAATGAATTTAAATGTACTGTATCTCCTAAGTATAAAGAAATAAGTATAAACCCCAGTTTTAAGGAAAGATTATCACTTATTTATTTTGAAAAGTCTTTTTCATCTTATCAAAGAGAGCATGTTACAGTTAAATTTTAACCGTCCGTCAAGGTTGTTCCATACATATATTCTTGTCTTCTCTTAATATTATAGTGTATTAATAATATGTAAATGATGATGATGAATAATATGTAAATAGTCTGTTTATTAAAGCTACACTTACATTTTATTTGATCTTTATTGTCATTCAGTATCATAACACTAGAGCAGTTGACAAGTATATACGGTGAGTGTGGTGGCAAGTACGACTCACAGGCGTTACCAAAGATAAAGGCCGTAGCAAGATTTATTATAGTGACAGCTATTGGTAAGCACTTCACAAGGACTACTAATGGATTCACGCGCATTATATCACTCTCCCAGTATGAAAAGGCACCTGTTATTCGAGTTACCTGTAGAAAATAAACAACATTGAAAAATTGGACGAACCTTCTTTTGACACAGTTTTTTATTTTTATTAAACGTTTTCTTCTAGTAAAACGAATGTATATATATTATGCATATTGTATGTGCCTACACATACCATATGTTTCTTCTCATAGTATTTTTTTTTTCACAGATGATAAATACAAACATATACCAAAAAACTACACTAGTGCCATATGTGTAATAAATACTAATGGTGAGTCAACTCCTTTGATAGACCGCTAAATACCTACAAGGCTCTCTCGACTAAAAATGTGCTAGGCTTGTCACAAAACAAAATAGTATTTGCCTAATTTAACTATATTCTACCTATATAGCAGTATCTCGGGCTCCCATTCCGTTTAAAATATTTAATAAAGGTTGAATAAATTAAATAAAAAAGGTTAAAATTATACATCGGAGAATATTTTATTTCGTTTCTTCCGTTTTGTAAAAAATATTGGGAAAAGATATTGGTTAAATTGAATTCTTACAACAATGTGATTGCTGCAGTATTCCATCTGCGATATTAATGTAATATATAATTTCTACAGTTAAATGTAATATAATACCAAATACATCAAGAGTTTTATTATACGCTCTGTCTCTTATACTATTAGCAAAGTAAAGAGATAAAAGTACTAATGCGAGTTAATCAATTAATAAATATTTTGCGACCAAACTTGTGCAACTGATGGACGTGACACTCGTGAACGGGCGAACCGGGCGTCAGGTGAAGAAGCCGGCCGTCACTACTGCAGAAGTCGCGAGCAGGAGGGGGACTCCGCTCTCCTTCATACCTCGCCTCAGCGTTGCTCCTCAAAGTAGTTGACTCACTCTTAGTATTTATTTATTACACATATATGCTAGTTCGGTACACTCTAAAATCAGAACAGTATTTTTTAAACAAACTCAAGTACTTTTCATAGCTCTCTACATACCTACACTTATCAAATTTAATATGAACTTTCTTCTTCTTCTTTTTTTAGACTCAAATAATAGTACTCGTATCTTCGTGGTTTGATAACAATTTTTTTACCACAATTACCAAGTTACCTGTCATAAGAGGTAATAAATAGAAAAGTTACACAAGGTTACTTACACATAATATTCTATTTATTCTATATAAGTTCAAGTCGGTGTTATCATTAACTATTCGCACCTGAAAGATACGTTCATAATCTGTTTTATCTGTATTATCGCAAGAAAGTTGCTAATAATGAAATCACATTTTGTAAACTTACTAAGGATAAGCGATAGCGAAAGTTGTCTTTCCTACATAAAGCTTTTTATATCTCGAAACCAGCTATTTTCCTTAACACTACGTGGCTGTTTTAAACGAGCAATTTCAAAGTCCTTATCAGGCATTAAAATAATAAGACTATGTCTATATTGAATAAACAAGGTAAGGCATAAAATGGTAATAAATGACCAAAAAAAAATTGAAATGTTGCTCAAACAGAATAAGTAAATCGACCATCTCGTAGTTATCACACGTTGTTGTTTTCACACACTTTTCCTATACAGAGGGACTCATGCGTATAGCGATCTAAACGCATGAGTCCCTCTGTATAGGAGATGTGAGTTACGGTTAAGGAATATTACTATATTAAGAGTAATATTTGCCAGAACCGCAGTTTCTTCAAAAATAATAAACAGATTTAGTAGATCAGAGAAAGAATTGAATATTCTTTTAAATTTGTACATTTCTAATTTCAAAAAAACGTAACCTAATATACATAGTTTACTATATAAAAAATGTAATATACTGAGCATTATCGGAAAGATTTAAATAGGAATATTTAATAATACACATCTATAGTATTTCAAAAGACAATCCACATACTTAGCTAAATTTTTTACTCCTTGCCTTTAATTTAAAAAAAAAAGGCTTCTTTACTTTTATCTCCATAGACTGTCTTATGACCTAAGTATGCCATAATTGTTTCATGCTTATTAAAGCGTGTTATTACGAGTGATAAAGAATATAACTGTGTTATTTATTAAAAAATAATAACATTTAACTTACCAACTGTTCAAATGGAAACACACTTAGAATATCCCATAGAAAGCCGTGTTTTAAATACCGCGTCACAGTAAGTAAGGGGTGTGTAATCAGTAAAGATTTTTCGTTGTAGTAAGCAACATAGGCCATCACTATTATGTCTATGTAAGATACTGTATCGATCCACTTGAATGTGCCCATATATTTGTGTTGCTTCGTCTATAAGTTACATATGTTATTAGTGAAACAACTATTATAGTCGAAAAACACAATAAAGAAAATTATTTTACATGTTTTAATACACGTAAAAATTATTCTGCTTTCAGATTACTTCTGAAAGTGAAATTATTGATACGTACTCTGGGATATGTAGTAATTCATGGGTAAATATTATTACTAACGTAGTTCTTTGTCTTACTCATAAAAATATGAAATGTTGATTTCTCTCTATGGTGGGCTTCCAAGGCTACCAGAACACAAAACGACATTATTGTCGGTAGAAATATACCGCTAACAGTTAACTAGTATCATCAACTAGTAATTGGCGCACCGCGTTTTATAAAGTGTTTTTATTTATTAAAATATATTTACTTTAGATGACTTTTGAAGGTATATTTGAATTGAAAGTCATACAATTGCTACTAAAATAACAAAGTAAAGTAACTAAGTATTTTCAGTGTGGTGACGGATTAAGAATACAGAGTGTCACCACCCCTATTCATCCCGTGGGTGTCGTAAGAGGCGACTAAGGGAGCGAAACACGCAGGACACCAGCACTGCAGCGAGAAGGAAAACTTGACACAAACCCTATACCAACCCGTCTGGCCAGCGTGGTATAGTAGGCCAAAACCTCCTTTCTAAGGAGAGGCCTATGTCCAGCAGTGGACTGTTAAAGGCTGTTGATGAAAGTAACTAAGTAAAGTACAGAAATTTAAACCGATTGATGCATTCGTATACTTATACTAAAATAATATATGAAAAAATGAGAATACTCACTGCAATGTCATACGGCACGGCGATTATGTAAAACACGGCTAGAAGAAAGCGCAGAGCACACCACAATTTGAGGAATATGCCGTGGGGAGTGATGCAAACTGGCACGAAGATGTATCTCAGGTGTCTGCATACAAACGAGATATCACTCACGTGAGAACACATTCTAAAATAATATTTTAAAATAAGTGTAAGGAAACTGCTGTAAGGCTTCTTGGTACTAATTTGATAACTATATTACTACCAATCAAAACAACTTTTCTGTTATATTGTAACATATTTCTGTAAAAATTATAAATTAAGTCAAAGTATTTATGTCAAAAATAACATATTGGGATAAAAGTGTTTTAACTACATATTTATATCTGTCGTTTAGGTTTACAAATTGTATAGCAACCAAGAAACTTAACGAGCAATTACGTTTTCTTCATTAAAAATAGGACACTTAATAAATAATAGTATCGTATTTAATATTAAATACCTGAGCACGCCCAACCTGTCGAATGTTTTCATGTACTGAATTCTTTCTTCTCGAGTCGAAAACACATAGAAACTTTCCTTTATCTCTTGCTACAAACAAGTATGTTAGTTAATGAAAAATACAAGTAGTATTAGTAATAATACGTATTCATTTTAATTGATTACCGCAATTCTGTTGGTTTTCACATCTAATTTGCCACTTAAAGGCTTTGCTTCTTCATACGGCGCAGACCGTTCTTTTAGTTCTGGGTCATCTAAAACCTGAAAAGCTATTTAGATTGCATATTTACTCCGATTAATAACAATATCGATTAACAACAATATTACTATATTTCGCCTCTCATAACCTTATTTGTTATAAATACATCGTTTCGATACTGCGTTTTCATCCGTGAAATTATTTTTTACATATCGGGAAACATGAAGGAAAATGTGTACGCTTACCAAAATATATATGTTTATATAAAATAATTCTTTATATAAAACTCAGTATATATAAACTCAATAATCTTTATAAAAAAAAAAAAAAAAAAAAGTTAACAGTGGTGACGATAAAATTTTGCTAAGTGACAGTAACATATTTTTTGGATAAAATTCTAAAACGCCTGGTTTGAGAAATGAAAACACAGATTTTTCGTGTCTGGTATCGCACCCCGAGGGCATCTAGGTATAAGCCGTAGATGGCCCGGGGTCCGTCGGTTTGCTAGGGCTTTCCTTTCTAAGTTACACCTGGTTACCAGGGTACCCGAGACAACTCGCGGTGGTAGTCCAGGCGGGGGAGGAGGTGGGTTTATATTTACCTGAGTTGTTACTATAAAACTAGCAATAAGTCATAAATTTAATTTATTTCTAAGGATGTGTTAATGAAATGTCCTATTAGGGGCAATTTAATAAGTCAGGTGATTACTATTTTAAATTAACAGAGCTCACTTAGCCGTTACACTTCTATCTAAATCCGTTATAAATACTACCAATTGAGTATTTTTTTAAGATTTAGAAGAAAGTCACGCGATCTCTCTAACGCGAAACCGATCGTCGAAACAGTGCTGCAAGTAGCTAATATGTATTCAAGACCATAAATTTAATACATTTTACATTACGAAGTATAATTAGTCAACAAATTATTTCATACGTGCTTGCTACTTTTATTATAATATATATCTCACATACAACACAAGACTTAAAGTTACCATTTAGTCAACAACTAACTAAAGCGACTAAAGTTCTCGAAGGGACTTAAAAAAACTGATGGTAATATGTATGTACTGATGAAAATAAAATTATTAAACACAAAACATTAATTAGTTAACCAATATTATACGTCAATACGCAATATACGTCAATAATTATACGCAAAATCAATGTATAAACACACTGCATAAAATTCAAATAAATACCATATTTCATTGTACCATACTAGCGAATAGTAACAGAAATTAAATGCATGAATCACCGTTATAATAGGGTGACTAATGTCCGGAAACGTTCCCCAGCACTGCACTAGCGCACTGTACTCCACATGCAGTAATATGCAGTTTGTCGACGTCACCACGGTGTATACCTAGGACACATTATGCACGTTTTACAGTTTGAACTTACTCGTAATGTGTGCGATTGCTGGCTATAGAATTACATTATAAACAGCTTACATGCCATCAGTGATTTGTAAAAGTGTTTAGAGTTCATTTTGTATTGTAACTAAGTAACTATATGTACAAAACGTCACAATCTGTGGAGATGAAGTGGATAATAGAACTGTTTGATATAGTTAAAAATAATTATCTAATAAATAATTTATATTTGATATTTTTTTTTTAATTTAATAATTAATTTAATTTAAGAATTAATTATTAAATTAAAATAATATAGTCATAAATTTGGTCATAATATAGTCATAAAGTTGAAAAAACTGTATTCTTTATTATAAGGTTTATAGTCAAGTAAGAAACATGAAATAAGATATAATCACTAGACATGGCTAGCATTGAATATGACGACATAAATCATTGTTTCATTAAAAAATATACTGAGTAATTAATTATTTTCGAAATTTTAAAACCTCCTTTCTAAGGAGAGGCCTATGTCCAGCAGTGGACTAGTATAGGCTGTTGATGATGATGTGAATTAATTATTTTTCCCTGTTTGTTGATATAAAAATACTGATAGTTGAACAGTTTATTGAGAACCATATTCACAAAAAGCCGTGCGTGTAATTAAAAAATAAAAATGTCAAATAGGGTATTTTAAACTTTTTCAATCATTAATTAAATCCCTTTTAAGTTCAATTATAGTCAGTATGGCGGAACAGTCATGGATTCATTCTGAGAAAAATATAGATACCAGTTCCTTGGTTTTTTGCACTCCTTATACATATTTTCTACATGCTTTAGTTTTGTTGACATTGAACTTGACCAGGTGCTTGCAACACCACTTAGAGATACGATTTAGGTCAAGTTCAGTATCAATTGGACGTCTTTTTTCTACGGCCAATGTGTCTCTGACCGGTATATAGGACAACAAAACATTTATATGCATAAGAAAGAGGTTGAACAATAAGACGGAACACTGAATCACACTAGCATCAACCTGCAGAAATTCCGACATCTATTTATTATAAAGCACTCTAGAAAGAATTTGGATTGAATTGATTGATTGATTGAATTTGATTTAATAACATTTTGACATACACAACGTAATAGATAAAGGGTTTTTCTCATTATTTATATTGTGATAGTCCTGCAATTTCAAATTATAGGTACATATATCAAACATTAAATAGTATTACATACCTTTGGTAAACCCAAGAGCATTTCTAAAACACCAAAATATCTTCCAGGACCAATAGTCATTTGTATCTTTCCTGAGTAATTCAACACATTGCAATGACCCTTTAATAAACAGCGAATATATATGTTATTGATCGAAATAAAACGCATTGTTTTCATAAGCTAAATTATACTTTTTAATAGTAACTTAAAATAACTAACGACATTGTTAGGAATAAGTCGCTCTTAATATTACCAACGTATTTAAAATTTTATGCCTTTTATTTTTGATTAATCTAACAACTTTTTAAGCGACTTACTAACCGACGACTAATAATGAAGGTCTCAATTCAGTTGCGTTTTTTTTAAGTATGTTTGTTGCCTTAGAACTCTGCCATTTATGAACCGATTTGGAAAAGTAGTTTTTTTTTATTGGAAGGGTATAGAAATTTAAAAAAAGAAGCACCCTTATGGTGGAAAATAAAGGAAGGGCAGATATTAATTAATGTTTTTAATATAATACATTGATAGAATCGACTAGTAGTAAGATGAAAATAAATTACTGTGTGAAATAAACATACACTTTTCAGTATGTACATGTCTCGTCCAATGTCAGCTGCATGTTGTACAACCTCGTCGTCAGGCAGCACTATTTTCCTTGTATTACTTGCTACTGTCTGCAGAAAGTCGCGATTGCATACCTAAGAGATAAATTAAAGTGTGTCCTACATTTGTCACTTTTTACTGCCAGTAGACAATGTAACATTATTAAAGAATTCTATTGTTTCGCGAGGAAAACATAATTATTTTCTTTTTTATTTTGTTTTATATATTTACGAGCATAAATAACTAAAAGTTTTGACGTATAAGGCCTAAGTAAAACTTCATAACAATAGAAATCAGAGAATTTCCAAGAATTTTAAACCAAATCTCAGTAAACAGTAAGCTATCACCTAGGCGACGGCGAAAGGTTATATTTTTCACATTGGCAAAGATTTTACCTGAAATAAAGGACACGATAGCAGAGTCTCGACCATTTCCATAGAACGAACTTCTTGTTGGAGGTTCATTGACATATCACAAAATAATTCATCGGGACATACTGCGTTATTGTAGTACCTGGACCATATTATTATGTGTATATTTAAAGCTTATAATATAGATATTTTTCATTTAAATCATAATTCATATACTAATTTTATTGAGTTAGCCGGTAACTATACCTAACTCCTTAGTTTGTGTTGCTAGGTCTATTTGAGTGTGGAAATAGCGCCTCTATCAGCCCACCAAAAAATTACCCTTTACCAAAATTAAATAAAATAAAACCTAATGAACAGTAAGTGAAAAATCGATCGTAATGTGTTTTATTCATCTAAATATATGCAAACAGAATTAAGGCAGTTAATTCCAATTTCACTGTATCAAGCAACCCAGCAATCAACAAATAAAAAGGTGTTTGATGTGGACTAAATTGCTAGTTCGAATTGCACACTATATCATATTAACAGCCTTTACTAGTCCACTGCTGAACATAGGCCTCTCCTTATAAAGGAGGTTTTGGCCGACTATATCACGCTGGTTAGACGAGTTGTTTCAAGTTTTCCTTCTCTTTGCAGAGTTGTTGTCCTGCATAGTTTACTCCCTTAGTCCTCTCATACGACATCCACGGGATGAATAGGGGTGGTGACACTCTGTATTCTTAATCCGTCACCACCGCACCCGCGTTATATGTTAAAAGCAAATATGCCACTAATAAAACTCGGACCGTACCTGTTTATTTTTTAAGTTTTCCTTACCATTGGACTGAGAAGAATTTCTTAACGCGGGTCTTGATTTTTCCTCTGACGCGATTTACGGACAGAAAATAAAACAGCTCGCGCATGGATTCCTACAATAAACGGCGAAATGTACTTTTTAACAGTACGATCACAAATATATACGTAAGCGTTATCCGCCGCAATCCGATAGGGTGGCCGGTTTACTGACGGAGCGGTGTGTACGGAATCGAACCGACTAAAACCAACTCTATGCCCGAAATAGGAGGGATTTGGGAACAGCTGTTATTGACACCGATAGAATTAGACAGATCAGAGGCAGATTGGGGCACCTGATGGAAAGTCACTAAAGCCGCCTATGAACGCCTGCAACACAGGAGTCACAAGCACGATGCTGATCTTTGAGGTGGTGAAAGCTTGGGAAGCTTGGGAATGGTTGGTTTAGAAATACCGCAATAATTTATTTAATTAATACTTGCAAAACAAGTCATCTTTTGATAAAAGAAAAATAAGATAATCTTAGCATATTCGCAATTTTGTTCTTTGTCACAACACATTCTCTCGATTCAATAGTTTGACAATAAAACAATCTATGTCAATAACGAATTTAAATGAAATCACCCTCATCGTGCCTTTCACTTATGTTCACTGATCCGGTAGATTTGCTTGGTCTTTGGTTTGTAAAACGTTTAAGAACAATATCTTACCAATTTATTTCAGAAGGAAATAAATAAGATTTTTTCAAATTTTAACATTCGCTCCTGTTTTTAAACTATGGGATATTTGTACTCTTAAATTCATAGTATTGAAGGATATCTCAATAATAATAATACTCGGGTACCTTAAACTTTAATCTTCTTCGTGTTGATAGTAAGTAGTTGCAACAGACCCTGGCTGTATAGAAGGCGCCCATGTACGAGCCGCTTACAAATAAAAAAATAACCTGCAACACAATTTCGGTATGAATGTAGTGTTACAGTATACTTTTTAATATTTATATTCAAAAAATATGTCGTACCTCAGTAGATCTCAATCTATTGACGATATATTGGTTGTATGTATTTTATTTTAACTCATTTACTTTCAATTTGTGTCCGTCATGTATGTTTGTAAAGTCCCCCGCGACACAGGATATATTCTTAATGCAGGAGTTGTATTTTTTAAACAAAAAACTTACTTACTTTAACTTACTTAACATACTTTTTAAAAAAAAAACGTCTACAAATAATTAACAAGGGCCCGTTACTGGTTGCTAAGCAACCATTTATTAGTAAACATTAAATATCGAACTTAGCTGACTTATAGTAGCACTTTGACCGAAATGGTAAAGTACAAAATTAATACTGACTTTTTTTGAATAATGTTAAGCGAGACTTCTGAATCTTGCCAAGGAACTAAGATGATTTTGCTAATAATATTTATAGAGCTAATGACTTTTTAACATTTCAAACACTACATAACCATCCTGTTTGTACTGAGTATTCATGGTGTATGAATGGTTTTAATAACCTTGAACTGTAAATCTATTATCCTAAAATAATCTTATTATATTTCTTATTCATTTCACTAATATATTTTTAATGTACCTGGTTTGTTTTCAGGAAATAAACTTTTGATTACAGGTGTTTTAAGAATTGAAACATATTCCATGTGCTACTTTATAAATCAGGTTCTAAAATTAACTTATACATTATGTAAATCCTTTTTCCAAACAACAGTAAACAACATTAGGCCGAACACACTCGTAAAATACTCTTCTTTATGTATGAAAAAGTATCATCACACTGTTTTGGGTTCGTATCATCTTCTCTGGGCACGCATTCAGAATTTATAATTTCATATTTATTTAAACTCGTAAAAGTATTTACCATTATAACTTCGCATAACAAAACATCTACATGTATTAAAATTTGTTTGTAGAGCATGAAGTTTAATAAATATACGAGTCAGAGTTACTTTAAAAAATAAATTTCAACAAGTATTTTTGTCTATTTAACTTCTTTTGTGAGTGACTACTACTTATTGATTACTGATCTATTTTTTTATTATTAGATTGGTATCAAATGTTTTATTGGTTGAGGTATAATTTAAAATTTGAACTTCCAGCCAAAAAAACCTATTTATATAAGTAAGTTATGAATGCAAAAGTGTATTTTGAGAAAGTATCAAAAAGAAATAAAGAGGGGCAAGAGCTGTATCTGTGTTATAGTCTGGTAGACTAACACATGAGATCTGTATCCTTAGCGAAGTTCTAAAAGTACGTTTGTAATTATTTACAGTTTTATTACTTTAGTACCTATTGATAAAGAAAGATGACGCTCTTTCTTTCTGTCATTCAGAATAAACTTAACCAATAACGCCGATTTTTAAAATAAAAATGACACTGCGTAAGTAAACCCTATATGTCTACCATCAACACAACGTAACTTACTCAATTATTTATGGGCCTAATGATCTAAAAGATAAGTTGATACTTTCAACGGAGAATAAAATAACTTATTAACTATTAAACTTCAGCTTAACATTATGTTAAAAAGATTGTTATAATAAGCAATTTAATTTTCATGTCAAGAACTGTCACAAAACTTTGGTCCACCTTTCGTGCAACGGTTAAATTTGTAGTTATAAAGGCTTTAGGACTTTTTAAACTAGATCGCTGACATCTTGCGTAGTTTATTATGCATGTCAACCTGTGGCACGTCATAAAGAAAATAAATAACTACGATATACGATACTAACGTACGATACGTAAAATAACTACGTAAATAACTCTGCGTGAATGAATTTGGCTGCAAACCGAATGTTGCGCAGGTACACTCGCAAACGGCGAGCGCGTTGCGAAGCGCGCTCGCTTCCAGGGAGCACAGGGAACATGGGGTTCCCACACGGGGGGGGGTCGTCTACTCGGCTGTAGATGACCCGAGGTATGTCGGGGCACCAGGGACTTCCTTTCTAGGGTATACCTGGTTCCCCGGCTATTAAGTACCCGGAGTAGAAGGCGTGCGGTTTTAGTTGGTTCGAGTCCGACATGCCACCGACAGGTGGTATCCGAGGGGATTTCCGCACGGAACAAAAAAAAAAAAAAAAAAAGGTACACTCGCAAAGAAACGTACTGAGCCTAGAAACATTTTATGTGTTTTTGCGTGAATTATTAGGCTACAAACAAGTAATAATAAAATTCAATTTATTTAATTCAGCTTTATAACTAATTATATAATGTACATGAGTATCTTTTTCCGAACGATTACGTTAATAATTTAAATACTAAAGTGGCAAAAATGAAAAATACATATCACGCATTTGGCAACAACACCGGACTACTAGAGAATACGTTATCAATGAATAGACACTTCTAAAATTATTTTCAAAATTTAGTCTATTAAAGTGGCAAAATTACTAAAACAATATCTGTAATAATATCTAAAATAATCTGAAGTCATTCTCAGTAAATCTAAATTTTTAAAGCAGAAAATCAACTTACGAACATAAAACACATAACATAACAATATTAACAGATTTTTTTAACAAGTAAGTTTACAACAGTACGTCAAAACGTTCAAAACAGATAAGTCACTTAATGTGTTAGAGCGAGATGCACTACTGGCCTTGCAGCGGTGCAACTTTTATGGCTCGTTCTATACATATGCCTTGTACATATTTGTTAATTATTTTGTTATGTTTACGACTTGAACTCAAAAAAAAAGATATTCTGCGAATGAAAAAAAAGCGTTACATATAAATAAATATGAAACCAACAACTTTCATAAATCTTACACGAAAATGATACAAACCAAAGTCAAGCACATTTTTTATAGGATGGAATACGGGCAAAGCATAGTCGTACAATAAATAAGTGCCTACAGCCTATAAAACTTTTTGTGCACGGCACACAATTTCAGAGTAAAAATATATGGTTATGGTTTGAGAGTTATTATGAAAGGGCATAAAAAGTAGACTGCGTGTAGTAGCCATAAAATATACTTTAGAATTTTCAAACTCACAGGGACATGAATATTGTATCTAACAATTAAACAACTTATAAAACAAAAAATTAAGATGAATGTGATTTGAATGGTATATATTTGAATGGGCTCTAATAATATAAATAAGCAGATATATAAATATATATATAAATAATAAGAGATAAATAATAAGAAGCTGTAACCACTATATAACATAATATGTGCATTTCAACCTGCCTTTCCTCCTATATGCCATTTTTATGTTTATCTCTTCTGATGTATTAAAAGTTTATCGACTATGAAAGTTGGTGAGACGAAGGAAATCTATATGAAATAGGATAGTAATGTATAAAAAAGTTTGACCTCAACTTATTCTAAGCAAAATTTAACGACAGCCGTACTACACAAACTATTATCTTTTTTATTTTAATCTCATTTCCAAATAGCTTTTTTTAACGTGAAACCCTTTATTATATTTACGAGTATTACCTAAGTGAGTAAAGGCTTAACTTATTTAGAATACAGCTTTTTTCCTACTTACTAATAAAATGTCATTTGAACCAGGGGCTATGTCTGAAGAGCCAGTACCGGTAAATACGGCAGTACCGAAACCAAACGCTGTCTTAATAGGTTTTTCGTGTTTTGCCTCATTCATCATGTATACCTTTGTTTCCCAAAATATTAACAAGGACATCCAGGAGTTCTGTAATAAGGGTTTATAATATAATAAAATTATTAGTAATATAGTAGCTAATTATCAGTAAAAAAACTAATAATTACAAAAAAAAAAAACTTAATGCACATGTTGTACAATGGCGGCCTCAATGCCATAGCGCATTCTCTACCTACATAAAATAAAACAATAAGTACGTAGGTGTATCCTGATCGATAAACAGTTTAAGACAATCTGAAGAAAAAAAAAGTTATTTTACATATTTTTTTTATTCGTTTATTTTATTTTATTAATTTAGCGTGTGTCTATGACATCATAGTTTCGATCTAAGCTTTAATTTAAGGCGTCTGATTAGCTTTTCGAAGATCATCATAGTTTTTCATATTCGGCAATAAAAAGCTGGTACAGAGAGTGTCGGGTATGGGGAAATGTTGATGTTTCATTTATACTTATTTCTAGAACGATATTTTGGAGAAACCTAGGTATTCCATAAATAAACTCATCATACATCAGTTTGTCTTACATTATTAATATGATGTGTCGTTGAATTAATTTATGTAAATTATAATATACTTAAAATATACTCATATAATGTAATTAATTGATTATATTAATTAATTAAACTACACCACTACCAACTTTTTAAATGGATTTCCTATAGATTCCATTAATTTTGATAACATAGTTATACAGATTCAGTTCTGTCAGTTTTTTTACAAGCTTTTATTTAACTTGCGATGTGCCTGGGTGATCTCGCATCGCGGGCGGGCTTAGCACCAAGCGAGCCATGACCGGGGCCCTGATCTTAAAGGTCCTCGGTGAAGGTAGTGCCGCGTTAGCGGACAAGTTGGCAGCACGGCTGTGGGAGGCACTGTCCAGCTATTATTGCCCGTCCGTGTAGGACAGGAGGCTTACGCATGTTGGACTTGGAGGAGTCCATCACCCAAGCCGAGGCCATAGCAACGGCGGGGGGATGTCCCATCTCCGACGTCAAAGTCGGAGACATCCGTGCCTCCCCATCGCCGGTTAGCACGGCCTGGTCAGTGCACAATTTTTATGATATAAAAGCTTGTTGCGAGATTTACCTGTGTAGATAAACAAGTAAATTAAATAACTTGATCTGATTGATTTTCATTTTTTAAATTTTCAAACTAAGTAAATACGAGTACTTAAATCTCGCGACAAACTTTTATATCATATAAATTGTGTAATGACGTTATAAGTTGTTAGTAGAAGTTTTAAAGAAAAAGTTTGTTTTATTCTTTTTAGTGTATTTAAGTGAAAGCTTGTTTTTAAAAACGTTTTTTACTTTTAATTTATTACAAAATGTTGTTTCTTTACATCCAATCCAATTCAAATCATTACAAACACGAACTAAATAATAATAATAACACGTTCTCTTATTAATTTGATTCGTCATTGTTCATTATTTATGCCTTAAAGCTTGATAGAGACATTTAAATACTTAAATCATCTTGTGAATACCTACTCAATTTTATACTCATGAACAAAGTTTTTTTGGCAAATCAGAAATTATTACACACTGCCCACTAAGCAACAAAAAAGGAAATTTTATCTAACTTTCGGATGAACTTAATAAAAAAACATCTATGTCGGAAAATCCTTTTCCTATACATTGATAAATAATGTTTATAAGTCCACCGTTAGAATTGTAACAATAACCAATTTATATTCATGACTCCTGTCGAATGAGATTATGTATTGCTCATAGACAAACCGAAATATTGAGCTCTCGTATTCAGTGCCACTCATATCAGGTGCCGACAGACTGTAGGTTAATAAATGTTATGTGTTATTATATAGATCTTCATAGCGCCATCTAAATGAGTAAAATGATTACTTAGGAACTATAGACCCCGAATTGGGCAATCTACGACGGCTGCTATTTATGTATCCGGGACTGGCCAGTTACAGAACAATATTAAAAAGTAATTATAATATTTAAAAATGGAACTCCTTAGCTGAAAAATACAATTTGTTAGCTGTCATTTGTTTATCCTTTGGAATTTATCACTATGGATTTCACTCGTGGGCTAACTCAGAAACAGTGCATCGATCAACTCATTTCGACTTTTGGGGACAAAGCACCATCGAAAACAACTGTGTATCAGAAGTATAGTGAGTTTAATTGAGTGCAATCTGTGCTCACGGACAAATTTAAAGAAGGTCGTGATAAATCGTTTGTTGCACCTCAAAGTTAATGTGGTAGAATATTATTAAAAAAAGAAAAAAAAAAGATGCAATGAGGGAACTAATAATGCAAGATCGCCACGTTACATATCGCGAGATAGAGGCGTCTCTGGGAATAAGTATGACGAGTATATATAAAATATAACACGACCATTTGGCTGTAAAAAAACATTGTTCACGTTGGATTCCGCACAATTTGAGAATTAACCAAAAACGGGCTCGTGTCGTTTGGTGTAAAAAAATGTTGGAAAAGTACAATCAGCTGTCTATAATATCTACACAGGTGATGAATCTTGGATATATGCGTGTGATCCTGAAACTAAACAACAACAAAACAGTCACTTCTTTTTCTGGTATAAATGGACAGTGGCTACAGTGCCACTAGAGGATCGTAAAACGATTAATTCTGTTTCTCACCATATGTTCTTGTTTTGAGATTTATTTCTAATAACTAAATAAAGAGAACAACTAAATATTTTTTGTTAGCTTACCTGATGTTTTATGTAACTGTCTTTTGGAATCAAACTAAACAGCCCTGTGCAAGACTAAGCTACGAACTATATTGTTAGTTTCTAAAGTACGATTTAGATCAGGATCTACACTTATTACTTACTTATTATATAACTCAATGATGCAACTCACCTCGCGACATAATTTCCTTGGGCATGCATTGAGATATAAAGCACATCCGGACCAATAACAAAATATTATAAATATCAAACCAAACTTCACCAAGCTTAGAAACTGCAAAAGATAAATTATGAATATGTATACCTAGTGTATCTATATAGTATAACATTTGCAACAAATTCAAAAAAATTATCTCATTTGCTCCAATTATACACTTGCAACACACAGCTCTTTTTCACCCAAAGTTTGACTGGAAGATAATGCCTATGGCAATAAGTCCGCAAGTACAATGCAACAGTATAAAATAAAATGAAAAATATTTGACTAAAAAATCTTCAACAAAATATAGCATATTCCAATTACTGTTTTCAGTATGTCACGATATAAACCAAAAGGTGCACACTTGCGCTTCTAGCACTCTTACTTTTAACTCACCCTTTGTACTCATATTTTAATACATAGCCCTTCCACCAAACCTTCTTTCTAAGGAAAGACCTATGTCCAGCAGTGGACAATTATAGGCTGTTGGGGATGATGATGATGATGCGTTCCACAATTAGCAATACCATTTACGTGTTTACTACTAAGGGAAAAGGCAACAAAGAGTTTTATCACATCATTCGAGGTTATTAATGAAAATAGCCCGAAAGAAACTTCATATGTTATACAAATAACGTGGAATAATAACAGTTAATAAAATTTGTAGAATAATTAAGTAACAATTTTCAAAAGTTAACTCTAAAATAATAATAATGTAACAAAAACTCACATGGAACTGAAAATTGGAGCAAGAAATACAATAAATTTAGTCTCGAGATATTATGTTTTGGCCAAACTATTATAAAATAAAACTCTGATGAAAACATGCAAGAATCCCACATTTGACCAGCTTTGACTTTGAATATTTTTGCCAGACGTAGGGTCGATGGAGACTCGTATTCGTATGAATTTTGAACTCTATTCGAATAGGTATAGCCTTGAATGTCTATTCTAATCAGGTAACAACTAAAACTCGTTTACCTTAACAGGACTATAGAAATTTTTTGCCCATTTATCAACATAATCCCACAAATGCCATACTTGCAATATTGGGAATAACTTAGCTATTTGACCAGCAACCGTTTCTCCTTCAGGGTCCAGAGTATCCGTAAAAATGTACACGGGGAATACTGATATTATATCGAGGTAGAAACCAATGGTTGCCATTTTTACTTCGGCTATGTCCTTTATAGTTTCTTTTCTAATATTCTGAAACACATCCAATATGCATATAAAGTTCAACTAAACCAGCTTCAGAACGTTCGGGTCATCTAGTGGTTTTTTTTTATACACAGTTTGCATAGGGATCACTTAGCTGTTTCATATCATTCTTCAAAATAAAATCAATTGCAATATAAAAAGGGAGACCTAGATAAATTGTCGACTCACGTTGAAATTCAAATCAAGTAAAGTGCGAATATAATTTAATTTTACTGCAACACTGTTTTTAACTTCATTAAAATAATCCCATTTTAAATTGACTAATTCAGAGACTTCGCTCAAGAAAATTCTAAACAATGACCAAAGATTACTTTACTGTAATTATTTTATAATATGCGCTAAAAAATTGTACGTTGTAGTAGTAAGACAAATTGAATTTTAAACACAATTTGAAATTAAGCGAAGCAATGAAAATCATACGACACCACTTATATACCTCAATGTACAGAATAAATAACTTAATTAGATCAGATGCGGCTGCGCTTGCGTAAAAGCTATTTTATTGGTCCAGAAGATTTTCTGGCAATATCGGATCTCCATTTCTGTACTCCTGGTAGTGTAGTATTTACATAGAAATTGGTTCCTTATTTTAGACCACTAATGTCCCGGATCTTTAAAAATGTAAAAGCGTGTGTGGGTACGGATTACTATTGTTTAGGACCTCAAAAATAGATAGGTAAGGATCTCACCGCTGCTAAGGCGGGCTAAACAGCCCAGCCAGCAGCTAGGGTGGCTGGGCCATCATTAGCGCCCCAGAAGGCTAAAAAGGGGAAAGGAAAGGGGAAGGTGACCCCAATAATAGCCCCAGTCTCAGCCCCGACTGACACCGCACAGCGCCCGTTGGAGCTGGGGTGGACGGTAGCCGGGGATAATAAAAAAACGGCGGTAGGCCGCCAAAAAAGCGGCCAAAAAGGCGAGAAAAAACGCCGCCGCCGCGACGGGAGCGCCGAGGAGGCTCCGCACCCCTCGCTCCTTGGCCGTTATTATTACTCTGACGGCGGAGGCAGCGGAGAGGGGCGTGGGGTACGCCAAGGTCTTGGCGAACTTAAGGCCAACGTGGACCTTAAAGCCCTCGAGATGCTGGGCGTCAGGTGTAAAAACACACGGACGGGAGCCCGGCTCCAGGGATTTCCTTTCTAGGGTACACCTGGTTAACCGACTACTGGTACCTGAGACGGCGTGCGGTTTTAGTCGGTTCGAGAACGACATTGCCACCAGTAAATGATATCCGAGGGAATTACCGCACAGAAAAAAAAAAAGGTAAGGATCTCAAGGTAATGCCAGTATGCGTGACTTTTAACTGTTAATTACGTCGAAGACTAATTAATACGACTTCTTTGAACTTGCATAATGACTATATTTAACTATTTCTATTAAGATTTGAGACTTAATTTAGTATTTGAGACACGCTAATGATGCAAAACTGAAAAGTACGTATTTATGACGAGATTTAATACCAGTCATTAGAGTACTTAATACCTTTAGAAGGAAAGCTTATAATGAAAACGTGATATCATGATAGCAGATTTTGGTTTACAACAACTGTTGCCACAATGTTATTTTGTATAATTAGTATCAAATATTGATACTGCTTCAATTTAATAAACGATATCAATCTGGCTTCTAACGCTTTCTTGTCATTCAAATTAATGTTGATTATAAATCAAACACGCGAGAGGCGTCAAGCGATATATTGGAACTGTATACACCAGAAGCTTTGTATGGTTTGATTGAATCCAGCGAGCCTCTTTGTAAGCCTTAATAATAGCCTTAATAATCACTGCTAACAGAACTAGTGTGGTTTAATTGATATCAAAGCAATTAATTACTTATTATAAATTACATGTTTTATGTAAATAATACTTTATCATCTAGGTTATATGCATATTTTTATAGATGGTATTCATTTGTGAAACGGCGTAATTACTATTATATCTTGATTTTTTGGCTCTTTTTATACATATTTAGAAAGTTACTGTCAAGAATAAAAAAAAAATTATAATAATTATCCATGACAACTTTCGATTTGTAAGCTTTAAGGAGCCGAAACCTGCCAACCTTTCTCGTCCATAAATACTTTACTTAGTGAATAGAATTCACCTTTTTAATGGTTATGGAATAGTTTGATTAATAAAGAATTTTAAAGTAGTTAAAATGCCACCTCAATTTTATTATAGCAAAATTGATTTCGTAAGAAAAACCCCAGAAAAAGTAATCTAAAACCTTTAAATAATCTTTTATTAATACTTATACATGTGACTTTACAGGACGTGAGAAGACCTCGTGATGGAATTAAAATGAAAACAAACTACTTACCTCTCTGTTTTAACCTAAAACTTCTACGTATCCGACATAAAACTTATCTCGTACGGGAGTTGACAAGATAATTAGTTTACTAATAATAATCTGTCACTCAAATTTGAATGTTAATGTCATAGTATAATATTATATACTCGTGTAAAATATAATTTACCGGTAAAAGTAGAAAACTTTCTAATAGCTTTGATGCAATACCCGATGAGCAAGTAGTTCCTACGTTGTCGCGTGTGTTGATCTTCCCCAGTGGGTTCGAATAATCTAGTTTACGGCAAACCAAATTCACAATTTTTAATACGTTTACTAGTGGAAAATTGTCACGTCAGCGGAAAATCAGCCGAAAGCAATCACGTTTACCGTTTTTGTGATCCAGAGTGCCTTCAAAGTTATTCTATCCAAGCACCTCATACGTGAAATTACTATTAATTACAAAATATAAAAAAATGTTATAAGGGCGGCGTTACGAGCAGTAGGGTCACCTGATGGTAAGTAACTAGCCCCGCCCATGGACATCTGCAACTCAGGAGTCAGAAGTGTGTTGCCGCCCTTTGGGTCTTTCCCCCTAGAGTTAGGGAGAGGGGGAGTTTGGGCTCCAGGACCCTCACGCACTCGGCGAAAATCAATGAAAGGACTGCTTGAAGCCAGTTTTTTGTAAGGTGGTTGTATCATTCCGGTTGAGCGGGCCCATTTGTGCCAAAGCATTGCTCTCCCACGGTAATATGGGATGAAAATGTATGATTTATTACAAAAACTCACCTTTATGACTATAGCAGTCGTAAGTTGTATATATATGTTAAAGAGCAACCCTGCGAAAACAATAGATGTGAGCACCTTCTCAACATTCGACTGCTGGCTTTGTAGAGCACTGTACGGTGACATAATACACACATATAGAACGATCAAAAAATGCGCTACTTCTAAAGCACGAGTCTGAAATATCACAGTTTAATTTATTATAGCGAATTGATTGTGCAATTATAACGTCTGCGTGGAACAATATTGAATATTAGATAAGATTTTCTTCTGTATTTTGGTGCAGTTGTAAGTAGTAATAAATTATTTACTGGGTTATGTTAAAAATCGACGTGGTCCTTTGCCACTAGATGCTGAGCTGATTAATGCGTCTAAATCAATCATCACTTACACAGTTGTTTTAAACTAACATGTGTGTCATAGCTGAAAAAATACTTTATGTATTTCTTCAGATATAACACATCGTGAGGATTTTCACTATAAAGAAATGTGAGTGAACAACTCTGATACAGAAAGATGTAAATCTCTAAACTAAAAATAAAAGCTGGAGCACCAGTACTAAGGTGGTCAGATTGAAAGGTATTTTTTACCTAACCACCTAAAACTACTACTACTACGTAACACAAGGCTTTTCAATTCCTGGTGCATATATTAATGTTTAGGTGTCCACTTACCTGGAGCTTAAGTTCAAACTATTCTAGTACCCTATTTTGTAACTTCAAACACTGTATTATTTACTCTTTCTAAGCAATCATCTAATAATAACAGTATTAACAAATTAAACAAAGTTGTAATTAAAGAAGATACATAAAAAGCGTACGGTCTAGAAACAGATTGTCGCAAAGTAACCTATGACGTTTTTAAGTTTGACTACAAACATTTGTAGTTCAACATAACATACGTAAATAATAATAATAATATAATTTTCATAATCACATATAACATAACTTTAAATGAAAAAAGTTTCAAACAATATACATACTAAATCAGTGTCAGGCAATAGAATCCAGGGAAAGTTGGACCTTAAGCAAATGCTGGGCATTTCGATAGTAGTAACATTACTCGACAAATGGTACAACTCCAAGTATTCAGTTGTAAACTTTGGTTTCCGTTCGTTATTCTCATCTAGCAAAGATATATATGGATAAGTTTACACAGTCAGTAATTTATAATCTAATATAAAAAATAACGCACAATAATGATTATTAACTAGGTTGGCACTAATGTTTCTTTTACAAATTGACTTGATGGAAGGCAAACCAAAGGATACATTAAATCTATCTCGGAAGTAAAACTCAAACATATAATGTAAATTATAGCACGCAAATTTGTAGCATATTAATTTAGTATATATTATATTACTAATAATTTATAAACTGGGATCTTATCTCTTAACATTTTATAACTTATAATAAATATATTCCAGGAAATACATATGATTCTGTATCTGAAATTGAAACTTCCCTCCGCTAAGGCTGATTGGAAGGAAGATTGGCTTGACTGAATCTAGTCCATTTTAACTCAAAAAAGACACAGGTTTGCGCGTTCACGCGGGGTTCCGTACCTACCCAGATTTTACGTAGATTTTCGCGAAAATTTTTGCCAAATTTCGTGATTATAGGTCAACGGGAACTACCATATAGGTTTTCGACCCAAAACCTGTAGGGTACTTCCGGTTGACCTTGAATTGTCAATTTTGGTTAAAAGCAAGGTCTTACAGCACAAGTGAAGAGAAAATTCTGAAAAATAAAAAAAAAGTTGAAAATTAAGGTAAATTTTGGTACTTACGAGTTTTTGCGAAAATCGAAATATTCCCATATCTTTTTATCGTGTTGACTCAAGACCTTGATTTTTAGACACCTAATAGGGACTATAGACCTCAGTATCTGGTATAAATTTCAACTTGCTAGGTCTACTCGTTCCTGAGAAAATCGGTTGTGACCTACGGACAGGCGGACAGACGGACAAGAAAGTGTTCTTATAAGGGTTTTTTTTACCTTTTGAGGTTCGGAACCCTAAAAAGATACCGTTCTCATAAGCCGGCAATGGCCTTGTGACTCCTGACTTATAGACCCAACCCAACGCTGACTAGACCCAAACTAAACTATGGATCTTTTTAAAATTGATGCGTGATTAAGCGTTTGTGCATCACTTAGTATGTACGTACCTAACTTAAATATATACAAAATAAACTGAACAATAAACTTCAAAATAAGCAAAACATTATCCAATTTCCACAGATAACACAATAGAAGCTCTCCTATCTGCTCCTGTATAAGCCGTATAAATTTAAAAGAGCAATCTCATCTAAGATTGCCTTGATAAATTAACGTTTTATCAGCCTTTATCATTTTTGTAGAAAAAAGCGTAGCAAAATGTTTCATGAAAATTCATACGTAGTCGAAAATCGTAACGATATTGACTACAGAACATGTAATAGATATGGGAGAACATATTTCTCAGTATTTATCATCATTTACATTTATTCTTCTTCTATTCATCCATTATAAGCATATATTTTTCTCCATTTATATAAGTAAACCACATATTACATGGTGCAAAGCATTTTTATCGTAGTTCAAACAATAAGAAAATGAATTTTCCCCTATATCACATCATTCTTGTGATCTGGTCAGAAGCGGTTTACTGATCATAGTTATTTTCCTGCCTTTTTTCTGCCTTAAGGGTGGGCACAATGTGTAACTTGTGTTTGTTTCAGCTGGTTTTTTGTGGCCGCTTGACTACCTGATTCAAAGTCTCCTTCGAAATGTAACAGTTTTCGGAAAAACTGTTCGGGTAAAGGAAGCGATTATCGTGAAAAAGCTAGGATGCAACTAGATACAGAGTCGAAACGACTTTAATAACGTGAGAAGGCTAGGGTTTCAGGGGTATGTCCGTTGCATGATTGGGTAGGTCACTAGAACATCTACTGGCTTAGAGAGGTTTATTAATTAATTGAACTCCTTATCTGTTGAACAAAGATTTCTCTTATATCTAGATATATAGATACAAAACTAGTCAGGTTTTTATTTAAAGTAAGTAAGTTTATTTAATAATATTAAACGCTACTTTATTAAAAGAGTTAACATACTCGTATCTACGAAGTATATGAAATCTTAGATCGGAATTTTGATAAAACATTTATATGTTTAATATGTTTGTAGATAGAAAAATACCTTAAAAGATAATACGTTATTCGTTTTCTGTCATCCATGATGTAAAATTCTAGTTTTAAACAATGGGTTGTAAACCATTATTATAATCATGATTTGTAAGCAATATTATATAGGTATTATTAATCAATCTAATCTAAAAGAGATATGTTTCAGAAATGTATAATTGATATTAAAATTTAAAAAACATATCAAAAAAGATCCGAATAGGAAAATAAAAAATTGTATTACCTCTATAATACATATGAGAGTCATCCACAAAAGTAGGGTCCTCATCCTCTACTCCCGCCAAATTATCTTTGAGTACTTTCATGGGGCGATAGCGCGTACGAATTAGCCTCGAATCGCCTTTATCGTACCGCTCTATCGCCTCCTGAAAAAAGACTTAACTTCAGTGATCCCAACTATATAATATTATTTGGTGTGTGATAGAAATTTGTATTATAGTTTATAGCAAAAACTATTGGCTGGTCTTCTATAAGTTTATTTTTCACTTTTTAAAGCTGTAATATTGACAAAAAATATATGTGTTATATTATTCCCCACCTTAAGTACAATCTACACCTTTGCAGTAAAATTGTAATACAGTATGTTTATATACAGATACCTCTACAGCAACTAGACCTTGAATTAGTAAGACTATAGATATACGATACTATCGCGAGTTTATGATGCCAGTACAGAAAATGACACAACTCGGACATAAATACTGTTACATGTCAATTAGGACCCTGCCGTTCTCATGAATCCTCTTAATAACACGATGTTTCAAAACTAAGAATATAACTAAGATCCTTTCAGCAGGACTGGATGCCACAAGGGATCTGACTCAGTGGACAAAAGCTAAATCCAATCTAGCGTGGCTGGAAAATAACGATTGTGACTTCATCAGACCTGAAGACTGAGCGTCATCCTGTGGTAATGTATATCCGCTTGATTATGATTAATGGGTACTTTTATAAAGTATAGCTAAAAAAATGCTTCATATAAAACCCGCATAATCAAAACCTTTAAATAAAACCTCTCAAACCGTGTCCGTGTTGTACCAACTGCCCGTTGGTCGTCAGTCGGGCACTTTCACATTTACAAATGATAAAACTGAAAGTTTTTATTGAAAAAGGAAGGCAAGTAAGAAGGGCAGACAATATAAGATATTGATATTACGGATGAAGAGCAAATAACAAACATGTACATCTAAATAATAGAACCGATAAATTTAACAACCGAAGTGATAAAATAGGTTCACAATTGAATCACTTGCACCATTATTTTTCTACTAGAAATAAGGAGCCGTAAATTATTCACCTGTCTTCTCCTTGTTTTCATAAGTCTCGTCTGTATCTTTTTACGGATCAGATCACGCATATTAGGATGTTCAGCTATCACACGCATAAAATCCGGCCTGCGTAATACCTGTACAACCATATTGAAATGTGATGAGGAAGAAATTGACAATGATCAGATGTATCTACATCAGGCTTGTACTTAACAACTTAATAATATTAAATAACAAAGGTCTTATGATACCTACATGACTGATAATATGTATTTAAGAAGGTAAAGCATAACAAATTTCTATTAACCTTGCACTACAGGCGTCGACCTATTTTTTTGCAGGTAAGTAAGTACTCTATATAATGATATGATAACTGTTGCATCAACTGGTGTGGCAAGTCTTTATCCTTCCTTGTATTCATTTATTATGAGCCCATAGGTTTGTTTGGTACCGTAAGGAATAAAAAAATCTTATCCCTAAATCCTTAGGTAGAAATTCTTTTAACTAATTTCATAATTAACAACATCTAATGGACAATGATGGTCTAAAGTAATTTCACCAAAATACCTAACTACGGTACAACTGGTTCCGACAGTACATTTCACACAGAAAACTGTACAGTACTTGCCTGCAGTTCAACGTAAGTGGCAGCCTTTACAGTAACTTTAGACGGAATGGAATAGAATAAACTCAATTCTCCCAGTATCTGAAATGAACTTATTCTTAACTTCAAACGATAAGACATACTTTGAAATAGGAAGCTAACACTGTATCTGCAGACTTTGTCTACGTGGCAGTAAAAGTAGTTAATAAAAGTAGCCGTGATATTTATTTAGTTGTTCTTGGAAGACCAACAGCTTTATAAATTAATTTGATATTTTATCTAGGTTACATTCAGCCATTAACAAATATTCAAGAATAGAAAACAGTTTTCAGTAAATAAGTGCGAGGATGTAATATTTAAAAGCTTTTATAAGTTTGAAAAAGAGTTACAGACCTTAATTACTATTCTGAAAAGAACTCAAAACTAAGATTCATAATAATTACATTTACCGAGATTATAATTATGATACGGGAACAATCTATTAATATAATTATTTTACTAGATTCATCTACTAAATTGATTTTAAAAGATATAGATATAGATATAAGATATATTATGATAATTTACAGGGGATTTAATGTATGACAAAGTCATTGCATGAGAAGTCCAAAAAGTTCAGAAAGAGAAAGAGAAAGCCAGTAAACGGTGACCTGAATTCTTTTGTTAAAATAAATCTCCGGAAATGCGCTCATCACAAAAACCTATTGATACATGTCTCACACATCGCAGTCGGATCTCAAAATAGCCTGTATAGACGTTATCTAGACTGCTGTCACCATATCATATCGTGCTCACTAATATCTTAAAAGACATCTTTGTACCCCTTTTCAAAAGCACTTGGGCTACTAAGATACGTAATATTTAAAACGCTTAACGTTTAAACTATGTGACTGCGGCATATACCTACACGTGAATATGTTAGTATCAGTAATAACAATATAGATATTAATATAGATACAAACAGTTCCTCCTTTAAATGCAATCATAGGGCTTTCGTCGTCTTCATCAGAGAGCATTTCAATAACACCACGTTTGACATAGATCATTCCGACCTTCACAATACCCTGACTCCAAATGTGTTGTCCAGCTAAGAACAACTCGTGGTGCATCAACAGCGATATTTGACGCATGAAGGACTCCGCTACAAACAAACAGTGTACGTCAAGCTTAGAGAATTTAAAGGAAACTAAAGTTAAACCTTAAGAAAATATACTGGACTCTTATCCGAGGCATCGCTAGCGTAATTATTTGGTGTTCCTACCTTTGAAAATGACAAATTTCCATACAACCGTTCATTCCTTATTTATCCCATTAGAGGTGAAATTTCTAAAAAACCTTTCTTAGTGGGTTACTGGTGGAAAAATAAGGAAGAGTCGATTAAGCATTGTGGTACCACAATAAATTGTGATGATGTAGTCTCGCTCACCACCTATATAAAATAAAATTGGTAACCTAACCATAGAAAGGAAATAATGTTTTACGAAGAGTGGCTGACATAATACATCTTCAAAAAACTACTTTAACGTTGGCCTTCAGTATGGATGAGAAGGCAGAAAAAAAGGTTTCAGAATAATGGCAATATTCATCACTCATATTCCCCGTGCAGCATTAGTAAAGCATAATTTTTACATTAAGGGCGCACTTACACTGTATATATGTCCATGATCTGTTTATAACATAAAACCCTACCTTAACAAAGCTACACCTATTGACACAACCATTCGAATATGTACGAAGATAATTTATTATTTAACCAACAATAAGTTCTAAATTAACTTAATAATTCTAATAAAATTAAAAATAATCTTGCATGAATAAAAATCTTTGTTATTAATTTTACTTTACAGAAATACTCAGGAGTGATCTACATAATTTACTAAAGTAATATTAGAAGGTTATATAAATCAAATTCTTCGATTGCTTTTCACAAATTGAGTAAGTTTAGTTATTTTTGTTATAATAAACAGCTTAACACATTTTACTCGTGAAATTGATTCATGCAAACAACCAAAGCCGGGGTTTCACTTAATCATACCTAATTGAACAGCAACGAAAATTTTACCCAATATTAATAATACATAATGATCGAAAAAGCCGTTTAACGCCCACTTCTAATGCTTTTAGTAACTTTAGCCTATTTTACGAAGGTATTCAATCGTAACTTTGGCAACTTCCAAGTAATCGATGTCTGAGGTACGAAACTAAAACTTGTTTGGCTCCTTATATTCTAGTCATTAGCGGAACTTACGATGGGTTAGTTAAGGGATAAGAAATTAATAATTTAATCTAGAGAACTAGTTTATTTAGTTTTGGGAAGCGAATTAATGTATTGTATCAGTGTATTACGTTTTAAGTAATGTACATAAGTGTGTAACTTACATAATTTATTATTTACTACATTTTTGTATATATTATACTTATGTTTACACAGAGTTCGAAAAGATATAACAAAGCTTTATAAAATATACTCTGCGCTTTATTTTTAGAAGATTTACAAAACCTGAACAAAAAATATTCAGTGGTTTAGAAACAGAACAAATTTTTTGTCTTCAAAATTTGCAACGTCTTGTGTAAATGCAGTCATAAAACATTGAACTCAGGCGGCGATCATCGTTGCGGCTTTTACTACACTCGAATCGAACGAAATATGTTGATTATTGTGTCATCAGTTTGAAGGACACGCGTTTTTAATTAGTTCATCCAGTAAGTACAGTCAGTCGGCCGTTTAGTCTTAATGCGTTCGTCGTCAATACAAAGAATTGTGTGAACTTATGCTATCATGTGTCCAAGACTTCATGTTGTAACGAGTCCCGCTAACTTTATTTTAAAAAGTGTCACTATTATTTTGTGTTGTGCAGTGTGTGTGAAACTGAGTGCATTATCAGATTTTTAATTTTATTGCGACCTTCACTGCTGCGGAATATCCTGACATGATGTGAATTTACGGGGAACTCTATCAAAACGCATCTTTAACCTTACGGGCAAACCGAGTATGGAATCAATCGTGTATGTCCTACGGACTGCCGAATTTTCGTAAGGGCGATACAAAGATTACATGACAACGAAAGTACCTACTTTTTCAAGGCGTACGTACACTTACTGCCGGGCCCGAAGCTAATTGAGCATTCCCGAAATAAACAGGTGAATAAAATCGTATTTTTAATAAATTGATTTTAAAAGCAAGTGAAGTAAGTGATAGTATAAATAAGGAAATAAAGTTCAACGACTCGTCGTTGCGGCGGTGTCGCTTTGATGTCACCGACATTTGACGCTGCCGTGTAACATGCATGTTAACAAATGTGTTCTAATACGGCAATTATTTAATTGTATTTATTTTGTTCTAAATTTGCATTTCATTTCACAATATTTTTATTTAAATTTTACCCGACGTTTATTGAACCGTGTTATCTGTTATTTAAAGCTTATCACAGACTGTATAAGTATGAGAGCCATTAGTCCACTACCAATTAGTAAGTAATCTAATCAAGTCTAGTGGTTAGTTCAAGAACATTATGGAAACCTCTCCTGTATACGAGTACTGGTTTCCTTTGCCATTGTGAGTAATAATTCCTAACACGAACATAAACTTTTCAAACTTAGAAGCGCGTGATCTGGTCGAACTCAAACCGTCAGCTTAGGAACTTGTAGATAGACTAACATTATTTATATTTTAAATATCGTTTAAATGTTTCCTAACTTTATATTTTTATTTTTTATTATTCATACTTTTATTTATATAAATATTTGACAAAATTACCTTGAATTAAAAAAATATTCCAATGTAATTGGTATTTATACAATAAATTTTGTGAAATAAAGAGATTTTTTTAATAATAATATCTTCGGACTTTGACACGTAACGCCATCTAGTTTCAAACTAAGCAGAACTTGTAATATGAAAACTAGGTTGACCGATGGAATACTTATATACTTTTTTTGTAAATACATACTTATTATACATAGAAAACACCCAAACTCCGAAACAAATATTTGCGGATGATATAAACCAGATTACATAGAACCAGATTATATAGATACAACAAATTAAACACGTTCCATGTCTTCTAATAGAAGAATAACTTTGAATATGTACAGTTTTAAGAATGAGAGCGAGACGTAATGTTACCTGACACCTTTCACCTTAAAGTTATATGTTTACCTGGCAGGTAACAAAGGTAAAACACGAATTCAATATTGTATTTGTTTTATCTTTTATATGTCCTACATTGTCTACATACCTACCATTATCAAGTATGTTGTTGCGAATATATGAACGCATACGGTAGTAATCGTGATCAGGTTTAAATATAAATTTTGATTTGTGCACAAAACTATTTCTATTTGCCGAAACAATGTGCATAGTTTTGTGAAATCACGCTACGACCCAAGGAAAAAACATGGGATAAATGAAAAATAAAGATTCATGTAAGATACATAACTGCATTAGGTATACCTAATGATGTTTCATGGAATGCAAAAATTAAAAAGTTAATAAATTCTCTTATTCTTTAATTTTAGAGAAATTGTAAACGTCCGAAATATGTA